TAGACAGCCATCAGGGCTGCCCGAATCACCTGAAATGGCATTTATCATCCTGTTTTCCGAGCATTACAATTGCTACAATTTTGACTGTTCGTGTTCCTCAAAAACACCTTGAAATTGTCTAGCTCTCTTATGTGAGGTTGCTGAGTCATCCTGGCATCGACATAAGGACTGAGGCTAGGGAAGGGGGTGGTGGTGGTGGTGGTCTGGGCTGAACGTCAAATTGATACTAAGCGTACCAAAATCGACATAGCGTCTTCCCTAAGGCAGCAATGTACCCCCATGTTGTGCAGACAGTCCGAGATGGTTTGGTGCGTCCACAAAAGAGTGCTGTGGAGGGTGGAGGTCCTCCAGCGAGGGGCATCCTAAACCCAACCAAAATCGCATTGGGCTTCACAACAGATGAATATCGGCCCACAAGGCGCTGATCTCATGCTTTGGGTCGCCCACGCAACTTGCAAATCGCCTGGTGGAAACTCTGGTAACCGTACAGTGCCACGGCTTGCCGACGTGTAGCTGGGCGATTTGTGATGATCCACAATTTGGTTGTGGACACCCCAGGTAGCAGCGAATCCTGTCGGGCCCATGGCGACACGCGCTTCATCCGCGCTGAGTGTGTGGGTCACACAGCCACCGCTGAAGAGATACACACAGTGCGACACCTTTGAATTTGGGGATTTGTTTGATTTGCCGTAAAGAACAGAAAGAAAACAGAAAAACGGATAAAGGAAAACAGAATAACAGGAGAGAAAAGAACAGAATCGAAACACACATTTTTTCCCCACAGCTGCCCCTTCAGAACCAAAAAATGCCCGCCCACCCCCCCTTTGGATCCCCCGCTGGCACCCAAAAATCATGCGGGCTCCGCAGTTGGCGCCGTGCCTCAGATCGACCATGCGGTGTGCCTGCCGGCCTCCCACGGGCGGCGGCCGCCTCTCCGGCGGCCTCCTCCCCCTCCCCTCCTCAGGTGAGTCGCGCGCGGCGGCCCAACCTGCCATCCTCCCCCCTCACTCGATCGCAATCCGCCTCCAAAATTTTTGGTGACACGCCCCCGCCATGGCTTTCCGTCCAGGGCTGCGGGCGCCCAGGAGGAGGGGCATCGGAGGCGGGGTGGCCGTGCGGGCGGCCCTCGACGCGGGGAGCGCCCACCATGCCGTCGAGTCGATCATCAGGTGAGTCGAAAGAGGCTGTGCTGCGGCGGCCCGTTCGGCTGCGTTTGCAATCTCTGCGCGGGGGGCGACGGCGCTGGGCCCGAGGCGCGTGCGTCGAAATCGAAACTCGAAATCGCGGCGGAGGGACGGAAAGGATGGGGCGGGCGGGTGGGTGGAGTGGCGGGGTGACTGGGATGCCCGGATGGTGCTGCGACTTTGCGGGTCCAGTCGCCGACATGAAGGGACTTAGAGTTTTGCAAAGCGGCTCTCGCCAACAACTTCAACCCAATTCCCTCTCAACACACAAGTTTGCGATGCGGCGAGCACCTTCGTGAGAAGCAGAACAGATTTTCCTGAACGGCATGAGCTCGAACCCGAGTTTTTTGACCTGTCCCATCCCGGCTTGCCCCAGGGCCGCGCAGCCTGGCCTGCAACTGCACCTTGCGGAGATGGGCGGCCACGCGCTGAACCTCATGCACAGCCTCGCGGAAGGGGCTGATGCCGCGGTGGACGCAGCGGCGGGGATGGACGTGAGCGATGCCGCTGCCACCGTTGCCGGCGCCGCGGGCGACGCCACACAGGCCGCCGCCGACGCGGCGGCGAACGGATCGGGCGGGGGTGCCTTCGAGTTTCTGGCTGTGGCGTTCACCGAATTCCTCAAGGTGGGCCTGGCGGAGAGTTGGGAGCATTTTTTTCAGTCGAGATTTCGGGACGTCTCGCCTTGTTGATTGTGAAGAAGTTCAGAATGATTGGAGAATATTTGCTCACCCCAGAATTGATTGGGAGAATTCTGGGGGAAGCGGAGGCGACAGTGGGGAAAAAGGGATTGGAAAATTGCCGATCGAGGCGGCACAATGCCTACCTTGGCTGTCCGAACAAAATTGAGCGAGTGACCTTGTTGTGCTTTGCAATGCTGCTGAGTCATTTTGCCCATTTCCTGCAGCAATCTTAAGAGGAGGATTTCTATATGCTGTGCCAGGGTTGCAGTGATTATTTTGGATTTGGGGATTTCAGCATATCCCAATCGCCCACCTGGACGTGTGAAATACCCACACAGCCCAGGTGCCTGTTGATTCCTGAATTACGCACACTGCAGTGATACCCTGAGACGCTGTCCAGGCGCTTCAGTGAAAAAGCTGCGTGACTTGACAACTTGCTGCCCCTTTTCCTTGCTTTAGGGGTTGTTCCAGGATGTTACCTCACCAGCGCATGTGCTATGCACACTATCGTTTATCTGGGGCATGCCTGGAAACGTGCCGTTGTACATTCTCCATTTTGCTTTCCCACTGCTGCAGTCCAGATTAGGTTGCAAATGTGCATATCAGGCGGGTTAAGAAATTCTATTCCACGGCTTCCCAAATGTGTATTCTGTGGCCAGCTGCGGCATTGATGCCCTTGGTTGTGTAGTGGTTTGTGGCTTTTTCAGTTGGCCAGCCAACAGCAACTCCTAAACCCTAAACCCTAAACCCTAAACCGGTGCCCATTAATGGAGTGTTGAATGTTTCGGTGGAGCATGTGGTCGTTTCTGCTGAGGAGAGCTGAGGAAATTCGAATTGAATCTGAATGCAATGTCTTGTGTATTGCAGATCATCGACAATGGGTTTGAGCTGCTGAGCGTTCCTTATTCATATGGCTTTTCCATCATTGCACTGACAATAATTGTCAAGGTGGCCACTTTCCCATTGACAAAGCAGCAGGTAAGCTCTGACACAAGGCCCCTGGCCAGGTTGTTGAAGCGATGGGCAGTGTGGCTGTGACTATAGAGTTTGAGCTTGTGGCAATGGCCCGAAGGCTATGAAAGTGTCCCCATGCAGAGCTTTTGGGTTAAATGAACAGGTGATAGCCCACATCGATGAGCGATGCTTCCCATAGATGTATTGCACGCACGTGTTAGCTGGAAGAATTCTTGCAGTTGTGTGATGATGTGCTAGAACAGTCACCACTGCTCCGACGATGAAAGTGGACCCAAGGTGCTAGGAACCAGCAAGGAAGCAATAACACCATATGCATGTAAGGAGGAAAGCTAGTGAAGCTGTCATCGTGAGTTTGATGGCAGCCTCATCAGAATAGAATTGAACCTAGTGCCCCTCAACCTGCAAGTTGATGTGCAGCTGTCCGTGGGATTTCGTGCATGACCTCTGTGTGCTGGCCTAACGTGAGGATTGTGACCCATTCAGAGGCCTGCCCACAAGTAGCAAGATGTTTTCTTGTGCTTAGTTCTTGATTATGCGAATGAAACTTAATGTCTTGCTGTGCTGACCTCAGCAATGGTGCTATACGCATTTGGTACTCAAAGTGCTGCCTGTTTCTGGCCAATTTGCTTTCTTGCATTGTTCAGCCTGGAGCTGCAGACCAACAAGCGCATTGTGCGCTGGCTCCAGTTGAACGATGGGCATAGAGGCGCCTCCCAGGCTGCAATATCAACATCTTGCCACATTCTGGCTTCCTGGTGCATTGATTACATCACAACTGCTGATGGTCGACAAATAATATCCAGGCACCTCCGAGACGGTCAAAAGCAGTGGATTTGTTGGTATTCGATTGTTCAAACTGCTTCAGGAAGCCTGTACACACTGCGATTTTGTTCGCTCATCCGATGTGCAAAGTTGCTGCACCTTACAGACTGGCCTGCTGCCAACTTCCGACTGTTGAGCCACCACAATGACCTCAGTTGCCTTTGATGGACCATAATCGACCCAAATGCGCTCAGCGTTTTGCATTCTTTCCTGCAGGTCGAGTCGTCGATCAGCATGCAAGCTCTCCAGCCCAGGATCAAGGAGATGCAGGAAAAGTACAAAAATGACCCTGAGCGGCTGCAGCAAGAGACAGCGGCACTTTACCAGGAGGCTGGCGTTAACCCCCTAGCAGGCTGCCTGCCCACGCTTGCCACCATCCCTGTTTTCATCGGGCTTTATCGGGCGTTGCTGCTGGCAGCAGATGAAGGGCTGCTGAAGGACGGCTTCTTTTGGATACCCTCGCTGGCAGGGCCGACGTCCATATCAGCCAGACAAGCGGTCGGTGGCTCACTGCAGAAGCACATGCACACGCACATGTATCTGATGTCCCATTTTTTTATTCAAGGGTATATTGCAGGGTTCTACTTGTGGCTGATGTGTTCGTGGTGAGGGGCATTCCTCCTTCAGCACCTTTGCCATGTACATTGGTGCTAGGCAGTTGCAGCGCTCGACGTCCTGAAGCTGCCACTTACTGCTGCTTCTCAGGGCCTTGGACTACAATGGCTGCTGCCCTTCGAGAATGGGGCGCCACCAATTGGCTGGGAAGATGCGACTGCCTACCTTGTGCTCCCGGTGTTGCTCATCATCTCGCAATACATCTCACAGGCTATCATACAGCAGAAGAATGAGGACCCGTCGCAGCAGGGTGTCCAGACTCTGCTCAAGTTTCTACCTCTGTTGCTAGGTGAGCAAGCTGTCTTCAAGTTCTCCCCTTGCACTGTATTGCTGTTGTTATAAGATATTGCAGCATTGCATTTATTACCAGATTGCTGTGAACTGGAGTAATGTTGCAAGTTATTGGCAACCTTGCAATAACTGTATTTGCTGCCCTTGACAATGTTGTGGTCGCTTCCACAATTTTGCATTGATTGCATGTGTTCAAGCTTGGAAAGGAGTTTCCCAGTCGCATTGCCAGATGCAAGGCCAGTCAACATGACCCTGGGCGGTTTAGTTGCTGCTTTGGTGGGTAACTGCCACAACTGGTGCAGGCCACCACAGGACAGTCGCAAGCACTGCAAGCAATGGGTATACCACAGGGATTGCGCCCATGAGGACGCGATGCTGCTGCCCAAACAACAGATGCCGGCCCCTTGTTGACTTGAATGGTCAACAAGTGTGTGGACAGCCGAGCACATTGTGTTCGGCGGCCGTGCTTGAACCATTAAGCATGAACAAGTGGTTCTGCAGCATCCTTGAATTTTACACAAGATGTGAGAGCAGGACGAAAGAAACGAATATTCAGAGTGGATTCCAGTCAAGACAGTCTTGCAGCTGTGCATGCCCAAATCATGGCATGTAGCACACCACACCCAACCTGAATACTGCAGGTGGATTGGCTTTGCGGACTGCCACTTGATAACTTGAGAAAATGTGAAGAATAGGCAGTGGTGCATCTAGCTTTAAGTTTTATGTATGCGAGGAACTTCTGATGCGCCATCACCAATTTCCTTGCGGGACACATGTGCTACATGTGTTCTTGTTTCAGTGCGTATCTTGCCGTTTCCCACTTCCTCTCCAAGATGCCTGGACTTTTCCCTCATTGCTGCCTGGTTACAAGGGTTGAATAGATTCAACAGTTTGAAGGGACAACACACAGAAATGAACACCTGCATCTACAGAGTCAAGATTTTTTGTTGAGCGTCAGCTTGTTGACTTGTTTTTGGTGACTTGCAGGTTGGTTTTCCCTGAATGTTCCTTCGGGCCTGACACTGTACTGGATCACAAACAACATTCTATCAACGGGACAGCAAGTGTATCTGAAGAGTAATGCAGCATCTGCTCAGGAGACAAAGTCCTACTCCTCCTCAACAATGCCGTCCTCGACGACCATTACCAGGCCTCCGAAGGACGTCATCGATGTGACACCATCTGGTGAGCAGATGGTTATTGCTTCCTTTTGTTGAAGGCCTGATCGCAAGTCATGGGCGTGGGCACAGGCATCCCTGCCCTTAGGGGCATGATTCACGGGTGACTCGATTTCTGACTGCTGCCAATGCTTTGCGGAGCTGCGACCCTACGGCAAAAGGCGATGAATGACTTGTAGCCACGCCCAAATCGCACCTGTTATCGAAATTTCCTTGGAAACAAACATATCAAATCCATTTTCTTGTGACGGAGACTCTGTCAATGAAGCGATGGTTGTGCTGCTTCATGGGTTTGAGGATGCCCTGGCCTGAACGTAGTTAATGGAGTGCTGCAATTGGTGGCATTGTTTGTAGGCTGCCCATGCACCACTGCGAGATAGACTTCATTCCCGAACTCTTGTTCACTCTCAAAAAGGCAGACAGCTGGAGTGGACGTCCTTTAGCATTTGAACACATTGTCAGAAAGATGATGAATATTGAAGCTCTGGGCTGCCCAAGATGACTGTTGACGCTTGCCAGCTATACCCACTGTCTGGCTCTCATCTGTGCGTTCCTGGGACTGCTGTGCTGGTCATCTTAACCTGCACCCCTTGATGCAAAGACTGATCGACTTGACAGCAGCCATCGTGAAGATTTGTTACGATCACACTGGCTTTCCAGAATGGGCCAACCCAAAACAGTACTCCCAAGTACAGTGTTTGTCTCTCTTGGCATGCGTTCACATGGGGGATGAAGTCACTTGGCACATGATACTCAGGTGGGTGTGCGATGAAAGAGTAGTATTTGGGCATTTCCTGGCACAACCAATCACAAGGAAGCAATTGCAACAAGGGATATGAATGGAATCCTCCATGCTGCCCTTGGCCAACCAAACTCTGTGCTCAAACGTCTCAGATCATGCCACAATATTTGGAACCGCCACACTCAATATCCTGAAGCCATTTCGGAATCCAGCTGTGCAGGCTGAAATTTGCACTGCAGGATCCTGAGATTGCTTGCTGCTGTGCCTGCAGGCCAGGAGATGGGTTCACGACGTTCAGCAAAGCAGATTGCTGCGGCTGCAGAAAGGAAGGCCCAGGAAGGACGCTCAACAGGGGAAAAGTTTAGGGCTCGAAAAGTGAAAGAATCTGCCAAAAAGGCTGCGACCTTGGCTGCCACAAGGCAGGAACCACTCTCTCCGGTGAGATTCTGGTCTGTGCTCTTTCTTTAGGGATGCTCAGTATCAATGTATGGTAATGATTGTGCATGATTGTGCATGTTAGATTAGTCCTTCATGTTCATTCGAAGTTGTCAGTTGTCAACTGATTGCTCCCTCGCATGTGCTGGCATGCTGCTGTGGCAATGCCAAATTCTGCTTGGCTGCAGATTTATCAGGTGAGCCACTATTTCAACTGTCATGTCGATAAATTGAGGCATGTTGGAGCTATGAGGCACCAGGTCATCTTGGTGTTGACCAGTAGTTAGTGTCAAGTTCGTCAGCGAGACTGCAGTAGTGGCTTTGGTGACTCAAGATGCAGTCGCCACGTAAAATTCGCTCAGAGACTATTGCCAACTAGGGGAAGAGGCATCGGAATGATGTGAACGTTTGCTGAAGATTTGGCTTAAGCAGTTGGCAGTTTGGATTCAGGACACCTAAACCACACCAGTAGCTGATTGTATGATTTTTGGCGGGCAGCACAAGCCAGATACTGTGTGGTGTTGAGATGATCCTCGCCTGTTTGAGTCCCTCTGCTTCCTAACACGCTCTGCTGCTGATGTTGCCAAAGGAGAAGATCAGTGTCCCGGATGCCACAAGCGCCAACGCACCCCCACTGGACATTGGCATGAAGTCGGCACCTCTCCTGGATATCGGGGCCGACGTTCCATCCGCTCAGGAAGCGCCTGCACTGGACGCCAAAGTGGAAGTGATCGCCCCGAACGGCGGGGCAGCTGATGAAGAGACGCTTTCCTCTACACCAACTGCCTCTGGCGCTGAAGCTGGTGATGAAGATAATGAGACTGTCTTGAAGGCAGAGGTGGAGGCTGGAAAAGTGACACAAGCTGCCGCTGTTGCGGCTCCAGGCGCAAGGAAACCAGGGAAACGACGAAAGAAGAAGGGCAAGAGAAAGGCAAGGGGCCGGTAGGGGACACAGAGACGTCACGCTGTTTTGGCAGGCGATGCGCTGGAACAAGTTTCTGTGCACTGCCACTGACGTGCAGTGCAATTTTGTTGTGCTGGAGGCGAGGGATCGAAATTGACTTGGCGTCTTGATAGGCTCCCTTTCCCCGCGGATGACAACGCCCATTTGTGCTTGTGACGGCTGTTGAGCGTGTACTATAGAGGGAGGGAAAGGCTGTGGCAGTGCAGACAGAACACGGCATTGCAAAGCGACTGTGTTGTGGCGTTTGGGCTGCGGTTCCAACACCGATCAGTCGATGGTGCTTGAGTTTTGAACACGGTTGAATCTGTTACCGGAGTGGCGAGACAGTTTTTGTGAAGACGTTCATCTTCTAACTTGAGGAAGGAAAATTTTGAGGGATTCGTGTAAAGTTTGCTTCTTTGGCATGGAGGAGATTGTGCAGCCGCTGAGTGTAATGGGGTCCAGATGCGCCCCTTTGTTATTGCAATCAAGTTGTGGGATCAGTCCTTGAAGGGGATGGCGCGTGTGCTGCAGCCGACGACCTCACGGGGTAGCCATGCTCATTGGTTAAGAAGTGAATTTGGAAGTTGGACGTGGTCGCCCATATATGTGCATTGTATATGCCCCACTCGCGGCATAGGCTTTGTATGACAGCCGCACTCTCGTGCTGCATTCATCCGGTCGGTGGCAGGCCAGCCATCGCAAGGCAGGCCATTGTGCCCATTCAGCTTTCACCAGTCAGTCGGGGTCAACGCCGGTACAGCGGTAGCAACATTGTCATCGAAATCCGGACCGGCTAGCTGGCATGCGCTGCACGTCAATACATAGCGTGTACTGGTTATGTACTACATACCCAAGAATTAGGGGTGGCATTAGGACCATCCTGATGCGCTCCAAGTCGAATCGACGCTGGAGGGGCCCAGACTCCTGACACTATGGGATTCTGACATTTCCCAAGAATGGGCATAAACCAAGCCGCCCCTAAGGCCCCACTCCTGATGGTTCCACCAGGTAACGTTTGGTGGTGGAGAAGAACACCGGACGATTCCGCGACCCGAGCACCTGACACGCACTGCGTACTGCAGCTACTGTATTTGCTGCGGTGATGCCAGAGCATGAGTTGCTTCATTTCATGTGTGGATGCCAGCTGCAAGTTGAACATCAGTGGTACTTATTTGGATGATTAAGGCCAGGGTCGTGATCTGTCCCCACCCGTACACGGATTGTGACCAGGCGCTGGCGTAAGGATTGACGCCAAGGACAGGGTTCTGATCATATCACATATTTGACGTTAAGCGTGGCAACAATGGCCCAACTCCACCCTTTTTCGACATGGAGGAACACCTTCTCAGGTAGCGGTGCGCAATGCGGTGTTCAGTCGCCCGCATCGTGACGGACCCTTGTGGAACAAACGGCCTTGATGTGGAAAATCGTGGTGCGCTTTCTCCTTCTGCAGTAGTTGACATCTCAACGCGCCTGTAAGACTGAGCCTCAACGATGAAGTTCTCAAAGTGAATGGGGTGTGAGGCTGGAATGCTTTGCTGACGAGCCATGTACCCCTGCAACAGAATGGAGTCACTAAATCGGAACGTCGACAGGGCACCGAGCTGAATGGGCCACCCAAAGTGCGCGTATCCTTGCAGCCTTCACCACGCGCGGGGTGTCTCCCTGTACAGGAGCTTCCTGTTCCTATTTACCTGTCTTTCAAGGACAGATAAAAGTCCTGCAGCAACGATTTCTACGCTTGTTCAGTGCTCATGACTCTTGCTTCCTTCTCAACAGCGGCTCTTGCCCTGCAAGGTGGCTGGATCTGGTAGCAACTGGCCGTACGAGTTTTTCACCAATTCGAGCTGGCAAGGCAGTAAGGTCACCACCCTTTGGCCATAGTGAAGCCGCACAACGCAGTCCTCACAGTAATCCGCATCGACACTCAGCTCACCGGGTAGGCGATCGCTTATTCCGGGAATCACAATGGCACGTACGGAAAACGCCAAGGACAACGATCCGCACACTTGCGACAACAAAATGGGTTCAACGGCCCTCACAGCACGCGCCAAGGGTGCACAACCCGTACGAGGTAGCATCCAAGCTCTTCGCAAGACAGAGCAGCATGCCCACAGAATGTCGCTCAACATTCGAATGAATACAGGACATACTTACAGGCGACAGCATCTTTCCTACCGCAGACACATTCAAATCTAACATGCACAGGTTCCACATCCCACATCCTCGGCAAGTGAGTCAAATGGGAAGCAACATGTAACATTACGTTATATAACGTATTGCTTCCCATTCGGAGAGAATTCTTGTTTACCAGAAGTAAATGCTTCAATGCTTCGGTGCTTCGGTGCTTCGGTGCTTCGGTGCTTCGGTGCTTCGGTGCTTCGGTGCTTCGGTGCTTCGGTGCTTCGGTGCTTCGGTGCTTCGGTGCTTCGGTGTGCTTGGGTAACCATTCCGGTATGCCAGAATTCAATTAGTACGCAGTTTCCAGCACAACTATCCAACAAACCCCCACCATTTTCCGCCCTGTACGAGAGAAGAGCTTACCAAATCGACTGGGTGCTTTCCTGGAGTACTGCTACGCTCAATTTGGAATGTGCAGAGTTTCCTCCACGATTACCCCTGCAGTCGGGGGCAGCGGAGGGAAGAACGACGGACTACGTTGACACTTTGGTGTGCAAGAAAGTTCCGACTTTCTCCATGACGCACTGGAATGGCCGATACCCACACCGTTCTCCCCTGACCGGTCCGTTCAACATACCCACGGATCGAATCCACCGTCAAGGCACGGTCAATCCGCATCCCTTTTGCCACATAGATGTCCACCTGATATCAGCCCATGAGCAAACGTCGCAAATGTGTTCCAGGTACTGCCCATTGGTCGGTGCGATCACGCCGGTCAGCGCCCAGCCCCTAGAGTACTGTTCCCCGCATTCTTCGCCTCCCGGACACTGGGTGATGAGTTCGACAACGCGTCGCCCCCGATTTAGCATTCTCATGTTCTGCCTCCTTGTCACCTTTGCCGCCTTTCCTGCAGCCCTAAGAACCCAGACCCTCTGCAGTTTCGACTCATACTACATACATCACATCAGCGTATCGTTATTAGTAGTATCACTATATCATATTTCAAACGTTCCGCCCAGCGCGCCGCTGCCGTGTACAACCATACCCTCGTACCCGGAGGAGGCCCACGTGCCATGCCGCCGATGGCTGCCCTTTCCGCTTCTCTGTGACTTGCAATGACCCTCCCTTCAGCAGGATCGAGCACGGTAGGGGCTAAAGCATCCTACTCTGTCTCATTCTACTCATTCAGAGGGGTTTGGAAGTCGATGGCTGGGGCCGGGCCTGCAAGGTCCCCCTGCCGCCCTTCTTGGACATTCTTCCCTTGGTGCAGGTCTCCTCGCAGCAGGAGCTCAACAGCGTCGAAGGCGGACACGCTGCGGTGTGAAACTACATTCCAGGGCCATTCCAGGGCTGCATGGCCGCACCTTGAAAGGTGGAACGTACGCCATCCCATCACAGCTAACATAGAAGCCATTGCGCAAGCCAGATTGCCCAGCTGCACAACTCAACAGCCGGTCATCCTCTGACACCAGCTGGGGTCACGAGAAATATTCATTCTGGACAAGGCCTTTGCAGGGCAACTTCAGCTGCGCTATGAAAAGGTGAAGTGACGTACCGGCCCAGATATCGGGCATAGCAGTTTGCTGCAGGGATGGCACTCAAACTATGCCTCCCCATTCACTGAACGCGGACAGACCATGGTCCAATGGGCAATTATTGAATAACAGTTCCCATCTCTTTTGATCATTTCCTTTTTCCTTTTTTTTCGAATGTCTTCCTGCAACTTTATCCCACAGGACATGCTCAAAGACACCATCCACTTAGTGGGAAAATGAAACTACTGAAAGGCACAATCAAGTGGTAAACAGTTCTGTTAGACATTTAAAACGTCCAGAGAAGGGATATGCTGTGGCTGGACACATTGCTACTTGCCTGGTATGTACATGTGTGCATCGGTTTCTGAGTGAATCTGTGCGAGTCGACGCGGTTTCTGTTGGCGTTTCCGTCCCGAATTCTTACGATTGTGTTCGTTTGAGTGCCCAAGGCATGTGGGCCGTTTTTTTCCTCTTTCTGTGGTCAATCCGCCAGCGGTATGCATGCAAAGTGGGGGGGATCCTGATGCCGCTCCCCATTATCATTTGTCAACGAACTCATGATGAAGACAAGCCAAGGCACACTGATTTCTATGCTTCAAGAGCACAACTTTCAAGATGGCGTTGTATTATGCACGCCCATCGCAACACCTCCTTTATGATGAACGGCCGGTGGAATGATACGTCACGCGCCACAAGGCGACACGAACCGACAGCGAAACTGCCGGCTTGGTATGTCGCAGCTGCTGTCGTCATCACCGTAACAAGGCAAGGAGGTAGCCTTCAGCTTCCTACTTTGCCCGAGTAGTGTCTATGATCGGTTGATTAAGATCTGATGCATAACACAAACAAAGTCTAGGAACGTATGCACTCCTAATGCCAGGATGCGTTTGCCGATGGCAACATATCGAAAGAAGTGTCTGCCTGTTGGCAGCTACTGTCGCGGCCCCGATTTGCGCAGCCCCTTTGTCAGCCCACAATCAAATGGAGATAAAGAAGCCTCGCACTCCTCTCCCGAATGTCCTGAAGCGAGCTCCCTGCTTCCGCGCACCCTCGTTCTGTGCCGGAGGGAGCTTCGCCGCGGCCAGCGCAAGCGCGGGAACGCCGGACACCCTCCTCTCTTCCGCCGACTGCTGCCCCCAAGGTGGGGAGCCCGGCACTCTTCGCCCTTTTCTAGGCCCCAGGTGCTTCCCTGCAGCTCTTGGGACTCTCTTGGGTCAACGTGCCACCATTTTCTGTGTCCCGAAGTTTTCCAGGCATTTGCCGGATCGTCGTTCGGCCTGCCACGGGTTGCCCTATCAGAGATGGCTCTGATGGGCCCGGGATGGGTTGTGCTATTGGCTTTCCGCGCTGGTCGGTAGGTTCCTCGATTCGTGACTCGGTGATCGAGCTGCGGTTCGTCCCGCATGCTGTTGCGAGGGCAGGCCATCAGTGCCTGGATAGGGCGCGGTCTGGGCGGCGATTCGCTCCGGCAGGGTCCACATCTGGGGCATCCAAAAGCCATCGACGGTTCGAAACTCGGTCGCCGCACGAGTGTCCTTTCCTTGTGACGTGCTCGTGACGTTTACTGTCCCACGGGGCTTCGCGCTGGCCTCCAACCTGACGGACGGTGTGGGTAATCGGCAACAAACTCTGTCCGGTTCGTGGAAACTGTAGCTGCTCGTTCGCTGCTGCCCTTGATTTTGGCTCGAGTGTTCCGTCCCCTCCAGTATCGGGGAGTGGATTGTCATGCCATCAATTATCCCGACAGCATGACATTTGGGAAGGTAATGTGCGATCCGCCGAGGTTCGGCAGAATCTATGGCATTCGCAGAAGGCAATGATATCCTGCTGACACCAGCATGAACGAACTGGCGAATCCTGCCTTCGAGTGGCGGGCAAATCGCTCGACAGTGCTTCTGTTCTTTTGAACGACGGCTTGGGGATTGCGGTTGAAATTTCGCACCACACTGCTTCTGACATGTGCCACACCGGAGACGGACACATCTGTGCCGAATTTATGAATGCCGCATGCGATGCCGAGATGAAGGTAACAACTTCATTCAGAGGAGCCTGCAAGCAGAGGAAAGAAACTGCAGCAAATATCAACACAAACAACCAATGAGAGCAAGACAAGATTCCAGCGAACGGACAAGGAATGTGCAACTAGAGGAGCATTTGGTGGAGGCGTTGTGGAAAATGCGGCCCCTGAGTGTGAGGGATATTGTTGGTCAATAGCGGGTCTCCGAAGAGATTGCTGGGTGAATAATGTGTGACGAAAATCTGGAAATGCAGAAGATTGTGCACAATGGGTTTGCCAACAAGCCAAGGACAGCTTTGCATGCATCAAAAAACCTAGAGCGCCATTGCTCGAGGCCCACCACTAGCTTTAAACAGGAGCTTAGTGAAGGGGTTAGGAACTTTTGTGGCAGGAGGGATTGTCTATAAGAAGGCACTTTGGCAACGGGCATCTCCTGCATTTCAGGTACACGGTGTGCTTTGAGGCGAGGAGAAGTGCGCTCTCGGCAGCTTTGCTGGGAAATCTGCAGCCATGCCCTTTGGGCTTTTTGGATCCAAGAAGCCCCTGCAGGAGGTCCAAGAGGATGGGGAGAAGGAGCCTGTGGTGCCCCAGGAAGCCCATGAGCAGGCCCCCAGTGCAGCAGTGAGTGCACACAAAAGCATGTGACCATGAATGTGGCTGTGGCTGTGCACAAAGGCAACAAGTATTGGCATGTCCTGTCCAACTTCAAGTGGAGCTGTACATAGAATTTGATGGAACTTGAATGGCAAATTGGATGGTGTGTGTGTGCATGTTTTTACTTTGCGTTCCCACCGTTTTCCAAGCCATTAGCTTGTACTGCCTTTTGGTCCCTTCCGCAGAGCCATTCATGCAGTTGCAACAAACACTGTGCATGTCTCTCAAGTCGGTACAAATGCACCCTTTTCCATTTGGAGTCACAGAGTTCCAAGTGCAGGCTGTCAAGCACAATTTTGGGACTCACAGCATTGCCACTTTGACATATTAGCAAACCTCAGTTGCTCTTTGTTGGCTTTTGGAGCTCACCCCAAATAACATAAGGCGAACGATAATAGCACTGAGAAACCTGAGCAATAATATCAAAATTCGATTTGATCACACAAGTCAAAATGTGGTATTGCACTGTGCTGGCACCCATGGCACATTGTGAAGCGTGTTGTGTTCCATTCGTCCCAGGAGGGCAGCTCTGGCACACAACAAGCTTCAACGGATGATGGCGCTGACTATGGAGACCTGGTCTACACAAAGCCAGGCACCTACCGGAGAATGAAGACTTCATGGAATCTAATGCGGGCCGCCCCCTGGCGTCGAGTCTCAAAGGGAGCTGTGCTCACCATTGAGGTATGTCACAGTTGGCAATGATATTACCCACATGCAACCCTCTTAAAACCAGCTGCTCTTACCTGATGCATTGTTGTAGGCTATATCTGCTCTCCATTCCACAACCTCTAAACCAAACATTGTCTTGCTAAAGAAAGGGAACATACCGCACGTATTGGTCCCATTCTTCCCTGTAGAAGGCTTGAAAATGCCGCACTCAGACAGGGTCAGCTGCAAGTTGCAAGGAGCATTGCCTGCAGGCATTGGTGTGGTGTTCTGGGGAGTGTTCTTGGTGAATATTTTCAAAGGACCTCCTGCCACACAATTTTCCAGCCTATTTTTCTTGTTGCCAATGGGCTCACCAGAAACCGCCTTGCAGTGAAGTGTGAGTGTGATCTTTTTTCTGCCTCGGCCCAAGGATAGTTGAATTCTCAAGTCCAGAATCGCCGTCAAGCGAGTGCCCATTTCACATGGTTTTGTTTATGTACAAACAGAGTATGTTGCTCCAAAATCGGCAATGCATGCCATGCTGGTACAGGCCATGCTTTTATGGGCCACGCCCTGTGGGGGTCTAGGCCAGAACACATTTTACCATGGGACTCATACAAATGTGGACGTTGGGATGGGGTTGCCTGACAGTTGCTGATCCGTGGCTGCTCAGCTTCGGCAGTCCGTCAAGGAGATGCTCCCCGGCTTCTGGGTGTACAACGTGTCACTGCCGGCCATCCGCAACTGCTTGCTGAAGGCCACCTACGATCCCCGCATAAGTGGCTTGCTGCTCAAAGTTGGCCCTGTGGACTGTGGCTGGGCAAAGATTCAAGAGATTCTGCGCCACATCAGGCTCTTTCGGCAGTCTGGAAAATCAACAGTGGCATTTTTGGAGAGAGGAGGAGAGAAGGAATACCTTCTTGCTTGTGGATGTGATGAGGTGTACACAAACCCAGTGGCCAGTCTCAACCTGAGGGGAATGTCGATGTCAGGTGTGGGTTTGACATGCACAGCCCCTCATTCTTGTTGACTAGGTTGGGAATCTGCAAACTAGCAAATTCCCAGCAGCCTCAGGATGATGCTTGGGGAATGTGGAACAGGATATTGTTTTGTCACACTGAACTCCATCTCTGCACAGCATGCTTGGCTGCTATATTCCTGTGAGTTGCATTGGAGCCCATTGCTGCATCAGCATCCCAATGCTTTGAAGAGAAGTGCCTGTTCATGTTTGGATGGACCTGCAGTCAAACCTCAAGCTGGATCACCGTGGCCTTATTGCGCAGGAGAGTTTGCAAGAAGTGTCCCAATAGTTCTTTTGGCTAACTGTGTTGGGTATGGTGCTTGCGTGTTTTGTGCCATCCCAAGGCCGTTAAACACTGGAGCCGATGGCAAACAATTTTCGTGTTCAATGAGTGTCTTGTGGGAGGCAGGTGCAGTTTGCCATCCTTGGGCTTTTCATGAAATCATTGTTTGACACAGTAGTGCTGGGTAACATGACTCCACAGTTGAAATACTGGCATGGTACACAGCTACGCAATTGTTCTGTCCTCAGCAATTATGCAATGGTGTGGCAAGCGAACAAGTGCTGTTTCAGATTTGCTTGATTGAAATTTGTCAGTCACATTGTGGACACTTTGTGTGTGCAGTAACAAGTTCAATGCGCATCAGCGTCAATCGGTTTCTCAAGTGCGGTACATATCATATGTCAGAGTATGGTGAAGTGCTTGTGAAGATTCTTTTCTTCTGCAAAAGGAAGCTTGTCCTGCACTGTGCACCCTCTTCTGGTCATTCTTGTTTGCAACCAATGGGCAGCAATTTTTAGCACTCTTTCACACCGTGCATCGTGATGCTGTAGTCACAAAATGCAACAGGAATGGCGCACAGCCGCACATACAGCAATCCAGCACGCGCTTGACAGCTTTCACATGTGAAATGATGCATGTTACGAGTGAAGTCCCCCGTGTCAAACCAATTCCGATCAGCGTTAACCGTGCTACTCTCCTTACAGCTGTGCATTAGCACTGTAGCAGTGACTCAGACACGATCAGCAAGTCGCTTCGCTACGCCCGCGCTCATTGGCTTTCAGCAGCCCGGATCTCACTCACTGCAGGCACATTTCTCCGGGGGACTTTGGACAAGGTTGGCGTTGAGCCTCAGGTTCGTCGAATCGGGAAGTACAAGTCTTTTGGTGACACTATTGTGAGGGAGAGCATGTCAGATCCACAAAGGGAGCAGATGAGCGAACTGCTGGAGGACATGTATCAGTACTTTGTCGATGTGGTGGCTGAATCAAGAAAGAAGACTGCAGCAGAGGTAAACTTGTCTTTCTCCTGTTTGCTTTTCGTAGGGCTGTCCCCAAAATGTTCCATACCTGCGTACCTCGTGTACCCATCAGTGCGGAATGCGTTCATGGATACCATTCGGATTCAATTGAATGACCCTGTGTTTGTCTTGTATTTGGTACAATCCAAAGCACAATATGGAGTGCTGCCTGAATTGCTTATCCGCGTTGGAGGAAGGGAAAATTAGCTCGTGTTGGACACTACAGCGCAATGTGGCCATCTTGTTGTTGTACTTTCCATTTGTTTCTTTGGAGCACTGTCATGGTGCGGAAGCATGTGTCTGTCCCATCACCGCAACGTGTTTCACTGGGTGTGGAGAATGGACATCCGAATATGCTGCCACAGAAAGGATCCCAAAACTGCGTTCAGCAAAGCATGAACCACACCCTTCCAGTGCCCCTTTTCACCGTCGTCTCGCACCAACAAACTGTCTAGGAAAGTGCCTGTCCCCCACGCATTTTCAAGCACAATTAGGATGCTGCTTTCGTGTCACCATTAATTGCAAGAATATTGCATTTGTCAAAGGGACAAGGCGCGGCTGCTTGCGACGATGTTGATGGCATTTCTTAGTTTCGTGAGTTTTTATTCCGTAACGTATGAGGTCAGAAACACAACCTTGTGTCTCGAGACCCGGAAGGGAGCCAGAGGACACGAAAAGTAGATGAACACAATTTGAAACATGACGCAGGCCTGAAACCGCTCAATGTTATCAGCGATCACCTAACACCAAAGTAATGTTCTGCCTGCGCAGGTCATGCACATGCTCGATGAGGGCTTTGTGGAAATGAGCGAATACAAAGCAGGCGGCTGGGTGACAGATCTTAAGTACTTCGATGAGGTGGAAAAGCTGATAAAGGACAGGCAAGGGAGGGCGAAAAAGGACAGTATGGCGCAGGTGACCCTGCGTCAGTACACGAGTGTTTCTCTATCTGCGTTTGGACTTACGGGGCCAGACACCATTGCAGTGATTCGCGCCGTTGGAGGCATTACAGGTGCGCCACAGCACTGGCATTGTCAAATAAATGCTGGCGACAATGACAGCTTTCCTGTTGCTGCAATAGCGGCAAATACACACCAGATGCATAATGGATGTGGATGATGGCGCAGCTTGTTTTATCAAGGTCGTGGCCGCTTGAGTCGATGGAGTAATTTGCTTCAGGGCAGGGCAAGAATGAACACAGCTGAATGATGCAGAGTTGCAGCCCTGCTCAGGCCCAAGGCGTTGCTCGGTCGGCTATGAGAATCTGCTGTCATTGGGCCCTTACCACAATGCGGCTGATATTATTCATTATTTCATCATTTCTGTTGTTTCCTATCGACAATGTTGTCGGCATTGCATCAATCCAGCAGTGGCATCTGCTAAAGGGTGACTAATCATTGCCCTTGCATCCTTAAAACGATGGTGGGTAGACCCATCCGCAGGTTCTTTCTGGAGTCGCTTTGTCATTTCCTCTCATGGCATGTCCTCTCGTCTTCACTGCTGTCAGCCCAGATCGGCAAATGAACAGAAAAAGGGTAATTGTGCCAGATGCAAATTTTGCTCGAACGAACAGCGAACATTAACGAATAGCAAACGGCAACTTCAACACATACAACGAATCTGTATGCGCTTCCAGCTGCCTTCCTTGTTGGCCATCTGGCTCACTGCCAGCGGGTTGCTGTCGTCAGGCCGATGCCATTCATCGCCCTGAAGGGGCCTGAGCCCGCCTGATGTGTTCTTGACAATCCGTGCAGAAGACTCACCCCTGCCAGCTTGCGTTCCCCACCAGGGTCTGGACAGGGTGCATCGCCAAACACGATCACGTGCAAGAAGCTCGCTGAAGACATCCGGAAGGCCAGGGACAGGAAAAACGTCAAGGCCATTGTGCTCCGTGTGGACAGCCCGGGAGGCGATGTGCTGGCCAGTGACGTCCTTTGGCGCGAGGTTCGAATGGCGGCAAGGAAGAAGCCTGTGGTTGCCTCCATGGGGGATGTGGCGGCGTCTGGAGGGTATTATCTGTCAATGGCGGCGGACAAGATCGTGGCGGAGAGGCTGACGATAACTGGGTCGATCGGCGTTGTTGTGGCCAAATTCAGCTTTGCTGAAATGTACAAGAAGATAGGGTGGGTTGCGCCATCGACCAATTTCCGGGCATTGGCTCTTTGGATTATTTTCCGAATTTGGTAAAGTTGATTCAAAACTGTTTTTGAAGCCGCTCAGTTTAATTCAAATCCGCGCTGTGAATTTCAACGGCGAGAATTTTTAACGCTGTGAATTGCGATTGCGAAAATTGCAGAATGTCACTGTTGAATTTGCAACAGGTTGATTCTCATTGAAGCATGGAGCATGTAGTATGAGGGAGGCTGCATGCTTCTCTTCTTGTGCACCGCATGTTTGTTTGGTATAGGGCACCACAAGGTGATCATATTCCACTTCATCAGCCGAATTCCGCCCTGTGTGTTTGCATGTTGCCATTGTAGCACCTATTTTGTTGCTACAATGGCAACATGCAAAAACATAGGGCGGAATTCGGCAACATATTAGTTGCCTTGTTTGGAATGACGACATGTATGTCCTGTCCACCACAAGAGGCATCGATGGCCTGAGGCACCCGTTTGTGGATTATCAGGGTGGGCCGAGAGATGCTGTCGAAAGGGCAGTTTGCAGGGCTGTTCGCCGATGGCCGGAGTTTCAGCAAGGAGGAAGATGAGTACTTCACAAGAGTCGCTAACATTTTCTACAACATTTTTCGCGACAAGGCCGCTGAATGCAGGAACCTGTCTGTGGAAGACATGGAAAATTATGCTCAGGTGAACTTTGTTGTGTCACGGAATGGTGTGGTGGCATGTGCGCGCCTTGTGCCTATCTGGCGCTTGCAGCCACATTTCCGCCACCCCTCAGTTGCTGGCAAATATTTTGGCATTGCCAAACACCCTTCTGTGCAAAAGAATCGGAGTTCAAATTGAAATTGGCAGCAAACATGAGGTGTGGAAGAGGCGTTATGTTTGAGCATGCCACTTGCATATGATGTGGTTGTCCCATTTGCCAATGACTGAGTGACTTGGGAGGGAGAGCTGGTTTCAGCCTTTGAGCACACGGTCACTGGACGTTGTAGGATTGAGAATCTGTTGCAATAAAACCATTGATACAAAAGTTTGTTTGTAAGGAAACTCTGCCACATAACTGCCAAATCTCATGGATCTTTGGAAGCTGCAGTACAAATTGAGCTAAAATCATGAACAAGGCCTAAGTGACAGTGAAGCTGTGGCCCCATTCTCGCACTTCCACCACTATCCTCGCCAAGTGGCGGCTCAACCCACGGTGTGTTGGTGTTCGACTTCTGCAGGGACGAGTATGGTCTGGCGCCCGTGCCAGCAGGGTTGGGTTGGTGGATGCCCTTGGGGGCATCGACCTGGCCGTGGACGTTGCCAAGCGGGCAGCCAAGATACCCCCAAAGGCACACGTGCATGTGTGGGAGGTCTGCAGGGAGAGGGGCTTCATGGGTGTGTCTGGCGCGGGCGCCTCAGCCCTGGGCTCGCTGTTGCTGGCTTTCTTGGGTCGTTCAGGAGAGTCGGGCAGCGCCATGGACGTTTTGCAGCATGCTCGCAGCCAGCAAGGGCTGACGCCCTTGCTGATGGGCGTCGAGGGTGTGGACGGGAGTGCTTCGGCAGAATTGTCACCACAGGTGAAGGTTCTTAGCATGCAAAATGCTTTAAAGAGCGTTGTGAAGAAGTTTCAAAACCAGTTGCGCCACAGGTCTGGCAAACTACGGTATGCCAGTGTTGTGGCACTGGCACAGCAGACTGGGAACGTGCGGAGCCATGCAGTATGCCCTCGTTAACTGTGCATCGAAAATCGCATTGTTGCGCATTCCTACACTGGGCGACAATGGGCCACGATGTGCCGTGCACTTCAAAAGCAGCAGGACAAAGCAAATCACTTGGCTAGTAGCTGGGAGCCAGGATTTGATCCCTCCAGTCTGAATACCAAATCCTCCTGTGCCCTGAGCACTGATGCAACACCATACTCTTGATGTTGTCTGTGTGTAAAGGCTCTGCCAGTGCCATGCGATTGGACATCGTGCCATCCTCATTCGTCTCTCTGTGTGCAGGCCATGCTGGATGCAGCGTTTTTGGGACGAGTTGACGACCCCTCTCGGGTGCTCGGAGCTCTTTTGAGGGGGGCATTTTAGTTCAGGCCCGCCCAATAGCAAGGTCTTTTGAACCCCCAAGGGTGCTGTTGGCTTGTTGGTTGTCATCTTCCATCCTGGCCATGCTCAACGCTGTAAGGGAACCCCTGTGTCTTCGTCACAAGCTTCATACGCTAGGACAGAATGGCATTGGCCATCTGTAGAGTTTCCAATGCCTATATCCGTGATCAAGCATTCATACAGCAAGGAGGAAGAGGATGGGGGCAGGGTGGAGTGGGGTGATGGACTTGGGCATTGTGTCCCATACTGATTGGGAAAATAAACTAAGTTGCTTGCGCCATTCTGAACACTCACTGCGTTGCCTGATGGAATGCTTCATCAGGAGGTCACCTGTGTATTTAGATCGGTGCTGCCTGCCCAGGCACCAGTTATTGTACAAACGGCTGTAATTGTTGTGCCAATCAAGTTATTAGCGCGTTTTTGAGTGCGTTATAAGTCAACCAGTCAGTGAAATTCGCAGGAATTTACAGCCTCAACAGCCAGACATGCGAGGCATGCGGTACATGTTACCAGTTCAGAAACAGGAACCTTGGCAGCACATCATGTCGCTTGCCTTCCTGCACACGAAGTGCATGGATGACTCGCTGATTATCAGTGACGCCGGTCGCCACTCGGCCAATGCAAACTGCGCACACTTCTGTCTGCGCTGGAATGCACCGACCTGAATAGGAGAAGCAAGTCCAAGTCCTCGAACTGACCTACCTGATGGTGTCCACCGGCGGGCACTGCCAGCTCGGCTGTTTGCGCAATCGCGGGAAGAGCGGTCGAAGTTCGAATGGCACAATGGTGACCGATTTCAGACCCTGGGCTGGTGTTGCGCCACAAAGATGCCACCTGTTTGCGTAGCGAGTGCCCCAAAACGCCGTTTCAAACGATCGGCGCCATTCGTGCGCCAGTTTCTGCCCAAGAACTCTAGCTCGACGCGTTCAGGCGTCACCCACCTGTTGCGCTTCGCCCACGGCCAGGATTTTCTCCGCAGCCATCTGGGGAGCTTTCACGGTCGGCGGCGTCGTTGCAAAGCACCGGCGACTCCCTGGTCTCGTTTTCGCGATTCTGCCGACACGCCACTGGCCGTAGACCGAGGAGCACTGGCAAGCAAGGTAGCGCCCGCACGTGCAAGGATGTCACTCCCAAGCAAGGATTGGCCTGCATCACAAACCGCGGTTACCTACGCCAGTGCACTGGGGTTTGTTTGTTTGGGGTTTGTTCGCTTGCTGGGCTTGGGCTGTGAGGGTCTCTGTTCGAGAGATGGCCAGTGTGGAGGTCTCTCATAGCAACAAAGGGTCCCCCGTCTACTGCTGTTGGTCATCGTCCATGTCACATGACTGCACGACATCCTGATTCCAGAAACTCGGGAGGCAGTTTCTGTCGTTTTGGCGGGCCATCCCGGGGTGTCTGGGCGATCACTGGCGCATCTGTAGGTGTGCGTTCTTCTCTTCGCCCCGAGCGGTGCGAGCAGTCGCACCGCGGCTGAGACGAGCGGCATGGAGGCCGACGCCGGGGCCCCGATGACCCGGCTGATGATCCGCCAGATGGTGCTGGAGAACTTCAAGTCGTACGCCGGATCTCGGACGATCGGCCCGTTCGACAAGGTTGGAAGTGCAGTAGATTGGGACGGAGGATTGCCGTCTTCCTGTCGTCTTGCCGTCTTCCAATTGTCTCCCTGTCGTCTCGTGAGGAAGGTGTTGCGGGCCGCACTCCGGTGAGGCATTGCGACCGTGGCACGGATGGCGGGACTGAGATTGTGTCTTGTCCAGAGCTTCACTGCGGTCGTGGGGCCCAACGGCAGCGGGAAGTCGAATGTCATCGACGCGATGCTGTTCGTGTTCGGAAAGCGCGCCAAGAAGGTGAGGGGCTTTTGGCCGGGGCAGCAGCAGGCCACCCGGCTCCGGAAATTCCGTTCCGGCGCGGTTTGGGACAACCCAAAACGCGCGGAACTGAAAAATTTTACGTTGCTTGTTGAGCAGCTGCGCCTCAACAAAGTGTCAGAGCTGATCCACAAGTCGTCCAACTATCGAAACCTGCAGTACGCGAGGGTGTCTGTGCACTTTCAGGAGATCATTGACAAGGTGAGCGGCCTCAGATCGGACCCAGCAATGCGCATGGCACGGCCCCTATTCGTCTCTCCAACTTTGTTGTGTGGTTTTGCATCATTTTTACAACATGGGGCAGGGACCACAACATGGCTCCTCTCACAGACCTTCAGAGTCCTCGTCGTTCTGCAGCCCCTGCATTGTTCTGGACTGTCTGCGTTTTGCAGTCATGGCATCACAAGACTGCCTCTGTTGATTTTGGCAAAGCTCAACAATTGCCCGTTGTGGTGATCATACTTTCTTCAGCTCAGCTGCAATCAAAGGGACTCAGATTCTGTATCTGAACCCAACTAAATGGCCTGTGGTGCTGCAATGCTGTCAGGAGGGAGCTGACTTCGATGTTGTCCAAGATTCCAATTTTGTGATTTCCCGAGTTGCCACCATTGCGAACAAATCCGATTACGAGATAAATGGGAGAAAGTCTTCATTCACAGAGGTTACTAACCTCCTGAAGGCGAAGGGGGTTGACCTCGACAACAACAGATTCCTCATCCTACAGGTGGTTCATGGTATTCCGTCGTGCTTCCTAAGTGGCCATGTTTCATAGCACATTGGAAATCACTCTCCTTTTACACTTTGGGCAATGTTGGCTTCCTATTGTAGGATTCCGTTGTTCTATGCAACTCAAAACTGGAGCTTGGCAGGGCAATAAATTTCTTCAGCAGCCTGGCCGTTGTTTCAATGGATCGTGGCAGCAAGCCCAATCGTTGGCACGTGTGCTGAGGCCAGTGAATGGCCAATGAAGGCATTTGTGCTGGTTCCTCACGGTGACAATGGCTGGGGCTACAGGGTGAGGTCGAGATGATCTCCCAAATGAAGCCCATGGGGCAGGACAAGCACGATGAAGGCTTGCTTGAATATCTGGAAGATATTATGGGCACCAACCAGTATGTGGAAAAGCTTGAGGAGGCATCCAAAAGGTACTGCAGAGTTGACCATAACAAAGTGCTGAAGGATGCTGGGGCAGATATGTGGGACTTGACATGCAAGCCCCTGTGTCATGGTGGTTGTTGTCTTGAATGCATGCTTCCTTGGCCCAGTCAGCACAGCGAATAATTAGGACCTAACTTGCATCACTGCCAAGCAGTCTACGCACCCGGTGCGAGCTAAATGGACGAATACAATTGTGGTTTGTTTGCTGTTGCACTCCAGGTATAAGAGAGTTAGGATGATGCCAGGTTTTGACAAGACCATCTCTTCGCCCAGTTTGGCACACTGGTGAAATTTTGCACTTGTGCATGTCGCTCATAGATCTCTATGACTTGCTTGCGCACATTCTGGATATCCAACTTGCCAAATCATGCATTTGCACAAAACCAGTGTTGTGTAGCCACCTGGCAAATTGTTGTTCCACAGCCACTGGCCAATGCGTTCCGAAGCAGAGGGATTCCAGCTTGATGTGGCACTCTGCACAATCTTTTTGTTTCTCAAGATGCTCATTGTTGTAGTGTGCTCGTGGCTGCCTTTATGCTGCAAGCTGCCAGCTCTGCAGAGCATTCAGAAGCCACCAATGTTTGCTTGTTGTGATGAAGTTGGGCAATACTGACCCATGTAGGGGATGAAACTCACAGACACAGGCTGAGGACACAGCATGCTTGATTGTTCAGCCAACTTTCTCACTATCAGCAATGGCAACAGCTGTAGCTGGTACAAGAACAGATGACCATTGCAATCGTCCCTGATTCCTGATCTGCCAGGACACTGGCAGAGTTCTGAGCTTCTCTTCTTTGATGTCAAGCACTCATTTTCTTACAATAATCTCTGGGTTCTGCATCACCTTGTGCTTCTTGTGAGGTCAAACAAGACGCGCACCTCTTCTGTCAGGACACTCGTTCACTGCCTTTTAAGTGGCAGTAGTTATTTAACTCTCTTACAGCCTGTCCTGAAAGACAACTGGCACAGTCTGCGTCCTGGCTGTTTTCGCTTTTAAATATCCTACTCGCTTTCGTTGTCCAACTATATCTTCTGCGCACTTCTGTCGCACACAGCCTTGAAGACATCGACGAGCGCCGCCAGTCTATGCTTCAGCGCTTGAGGATTGTTGAGGACGAGAAGTCAAGCCTGGAGGCGGCCAAGAATGAGGCGCTGGCTTTCCTTGCGAAAGATGCTGAAATCCAGAAGCTACAAATTGCCGACTGTTCCCACATACTTGCTGGTTTGCAGGTACGTGAGCATTGCACGGCATTCTTGTCATTTCCTTTCTGGGTGACGAAGGAGGGCCCTTGTGCCAGATTTGGTGATGAAGGGCAGAAGGAATTGTTCCCTTCTGGCATACTGACTGTAACAATCTTGTGTACCTTTGATTTTATTCTCTGCTTTGGGGCTTATCTCCAGTGTCCGCAGTGAGGCTGGTTGGATGATCAACACTTTACTCTGTTAAATATGGTTGGCCCTTTGTTGAACAGTCCTTGTGAGCAATTTGAGATTGTCTGCTGTGGATGCAATATTGCCCTTCGTCGCCAACATGGTGCATGCACATGTTGCTGATGTCAGCAGATGTTGTGAAGGAAAAGCAGCAGACTTGTTGTGCTCAATGGTCCTGTGTTTTCGCTTCCCAGGAAAACATGGACCAGGTTGAGGCCCAGATAGCATCGTTGCAAGGCAAGTTGCAGGCAGAGAAAGAGGGCAACAAGTCGTCTGTGAAGGAGCTCGCTGCTTTGCAGAAGACCCAGCAGGAAATGCGGAAGAGGCAAACCAGGCTTGAAAAAGAGCACCAAAAGGAGCAGGGCAAATACAAGGAACAGGAAAAGGTGGACTTGAAATTTGCAGAGGAACAGAAGCACTTGGCAACGAAGCTTGAGAAGTTGAAGAAGAAGGAAATGGACAGCGCACAGGCAGCTGAGGTATAAGACGCCCCATCTTGTAATCTAGTGGCACTAGTTGCGCTGTTCTCTTGGACTTGCTCTGTTGTGTCCTGCCATCGATGGCTTTGGTTGCACGTTTGTTATCACATGGCTTATCAAGACGTGGTGAGGCGATCAGATAATCTGGAGCTGTGGGGTTCGTCTTTTGGGCTTCATGTGTTGCAATTCTTCAAGGCTTCTGGGCTGCCTTGCCAACAGGCTGCGCAGAAAGACATTCGGATGGCAGAGACCGAAATCCCCCAAGCACAGAGCCAAGCAGAGGGATTGCAGGCTCAACTGCAGAGGGAGGAGCAGGTATCCCTGTGTGCTGGAACTACTGCCTTGCCAACACCCAGTGATGTGCACATGTTGTGGAAGCAGTGAAATTTGGTCTGTTCCATACCCTGTCGGGGGCACAGAGGAAGGCAGGACAAGAAAACAGGTGCCAATTACCAGCACCCTGAATTTCGTGCAGTCAAGGCGAATGGACATGGCGTATTGAATGTTTGGACTAATCCATTGAAAAATGATTGTGGAATGGTAAAACAGGCATTCTGTGCAGTTTGAGGCCACTTGAGCAGGGTCCTGCCCACATGCAACTGGAATCTTCAGCTGACGGAGTTGTTTTGCGGCATGGCTGGGTAGGTGTTCCAACAATATAAGGATGGCATCAAGGACGAGGTGGAAAGCCATCTTAAAGAGCTGAGCAAGGTACTGGGCTTCTTTTGGCTGAATGAGGGTCATTCACACCTTGAATCAATCAGAATGCTTGAATCAAGGTGTGACTTTTTGGCAGCAGTGGAGGCTCTTCAGGCCAATCTGCTGATGTACTTGTTGGTTGAGCAATGCCTGTGCACATGTCGATCGCTGTTTCACACTGTTCACATCCACAAGCCTCGGTTCCTATTCTGCTTGTTATCCATGCTTGTCAACAACTTCATGCAAAAAGACACCCAGTTTGTTACAATGCAACATAGGAAAGCAGCAACGGCAAGAAATGAACACCATCACCAAAATACGTGCAGGACAGGAACAGGCACATGTTGATGTATGCTGACCTTTTTATTGGCAGGTCCAAGAAAGCCTATCACCCTGGGAGCGGCAAATGCAGGAGGTGAGGTCTAAGGCCAGTACTGCACAGGCCGAAAAGGAGACGCTTGCACAGCAACAGGCAGTGGCAGAAGCAGAGCTGGCTGAAGCGCTGAGAACTATTGAAGAGCTGAAGGCAAGACCAAACCACAAAAGGCTGCAGGAGCTGGAGGCAGAGGCACAACACCACAGGTGCTGCTCTTGGGCCATTTGGCCATCTGCCAGTGCAGCTCACCAACAGCTTCGCTTGTCAGAAACTTGAAAACAACATGGTGAACCTGGCATGTGGCAGAAGCTTACTAAGGAAACAGAAGTGCTTCTGGTATGTGTATGTTTGGCTGGTACATACGTTTGTCTTGAGTGACAAGACGATCTCCAGTTGCCTTCAAGGGAAGATAGGGCGATTCGTGCCAGTGTCACAATCGCTATCCAAATTCTTTGCATTGTCTAGCCATTGACTTCTCTTGCCTTCCGTTCTGGGCACTGCAGTGTGTTTTCCTTTTATGATTACATCCTTTTGAAGGACACAAGGACTGGCCAACCTGATACTGACACAGCGGTGGTTCTCACCACATTATTCTAGAGAAGCCTTGGATCGACAGCACAAAAGATCAGTCAGTGCCGAACTGCTGGTGCTCAGTGTTTCCACCCACTTTTTGATGCTGTCCCAAGGCAGCTGCTCCAGGAGGCCACACATGCGCTCCAGGAACTCCGGCGCAAAGAAGAGACTCAGCAACGAGTTGTCCGTGAGATGGAGGAGCAACTGCTCCGAGCCAGGCAGCAAAATAGTGATGAAAGATCCCAGGGTGGCATTATACAGGCCCTGATGGAGGCAAGGAGGTCTGGCCAGATTCCTGGGCTGCATGGCCGTCTGGGTAGGTGCTCGTCCACTTGCTGTTCCCGTCGTTGTGAAGTGACTGTCTTTCCATTTAGACTGCTTTTGGAGATCCTGGACAAATGTGTGGCACATTCACCACAGCCGAAGGCATTACAGGGGAATGAATGCCTGTTCATGCTTTTGTTTGCCATGATTCTCTTTTGTTTTATTTGTGATGCATGTTGTCCTTGTTGGAGTTGCCAGGACATGCACGCAACAGTGACTGATGGCAAGTGCCCTCTCACCAGGTGATCTAGGTGCAATTGATGCCAAATACGATGTGGCCATCTCTACCGCATGTGGGGCCCTGGACCACATCGTGGTGGAGAGCACTGAGGACGGACAGGCTGGCGTTCAGCTGCTGCGCAATCGGCAGCTGGGGGTGGCCACATTCCTCATACTATCACAGCAGGCGCGCCTGGAGGCAGAGATGCAGAGACCCGTCAACACACCTGAAGGTCAGGGCTGCTGCCCGAAAGTCATCCCCCTGTTCTAAAGGGTTCCTGTTAGCAAAAAGTAACCTCAGATTTTTTATGGGCACAGCCCTTTTGAGCAACAAATTTGTGGACCTCTTGCATGCTTCTCCATACTAGAGGTGATGATGCAGAAATCACTTTGAGTCTATGTGAGAAGTACAGACAACGCAGAGGAACAGTCACAGTAAAAGCCAAGATGGGGGTCTGCACCCACCACCTTGCATGCAAGGACTTTAGCCCTTTCAACAGCTCAGGCAAAAAATGAGGTGATAGACCGCATTGGCAACTGTGCAGCTCCACCACGATCACAATTGCCTTCAAAGTTCAAAAAGTTGCCAAGCTGCATGCAATGCGATGCAAGGCAATTGGCACCAGTGCCACTTCAGCACCCACACTCTGTTTGTTGGTCTCGCAGGCCTGCCTCGCCTGTTTGACCTTGTGCAGGTTGGCAACGACCGTGATCGCGTTGCCTTCTACTTTGCATTGAGGAACACACTGGTGGCTAACGACCTTGAACAGGCGACACGCATCGCCTATGGCTCAGATCCAAGGTTTAGGCGCATTGTGACGTTGAAGGTGGGCATCACACCAATCCTGTGTTCACAAACCTGGCTTCATTTAGTGGATACCTTGTTTCCACACTTGTTTATGCTCCTGCCCTGCAATGAGCAGCTCCAGATGTAGCTGTTGCACCAGAAAAGGGTGGTGTGGGCAAAGGAACAGAACACTGGAACAGAAGCGCATTGATTGGCTTAGCAGGCCGGACACTTTGCATGGATATCTGAACGCTATGCAAACACGTGACGTTGCCTCTTTGCATCCTAGGGAAGGTGCATTCAGTGTTATAAATGTCTGTTTCGGATCCATTCGCATTCAGACGCATGGATGTGGAGAGTGCCAAATCTAATAGGTGAGCTCTTATGCCCCCCCACTTCTTCTGGCTTCTGTTGCATCGTCAACGATGGGCACCACAGAGGTACAGCCTACATTTTCTGCTGCCCTGGGCATACAATTTTAGCTGCATGGTGTTCGTGCTGTCTGTGGGCACAACATCATCTTTTGCAATTGTTTGGAATGAGTGCAATTCCCTTGTGCCATGGGGAACCGACTGCATGCTGTGTGTGACAATCTTTGGTAAACTGGCGAGGACATTTGCACTCGTTTCAACTGTAGATAGCACCATGTTCATCATGCCCTGAAGTATACAGGTGTAATATACATAGGTGTATATATAGGCGTCATCTATATAGGTGCATGGGTGTAATGGCACCGATATGAAGGTGAATTGCGCCGTGTGCAGGGAGAGCTCATCAACGAGTCAGGGACCATCACAGGAGGTGGAGGGAGACCCAGGCGTGGCCGAATGACTTTGGGCAATGCACCGCCAAGGGTCCTGGATCGGCGGGCAAGGGAACAGGAAATAAAGCAGCTCGATTCTCAAGTGAAGGAAGCCCGCGAGGTGTGCACCTGCTGGCATGCATTTTGGTTTGTGGTTGTCATTGTTGTCGTTTGTTGGCATTTGTCCTCACCCTCAAAAATACAAATACGTCACATTTCAGCGATGCAGCATTATGGAATCTGACAAGATTTGGTTGACATTGTCGATCAGTACAGGTTCATCAACTGTTGCAAGTCATGCCACTGGCCATGGCAAGATTCACTAAAAACATCCACATAAAAGTATCATTGCTCAATATGAGGACAACAATTTGATGTGCCGATCAGTTTGGCTCGCAGCTTATTGTTAGAGGGTGATGCATGCCCTTCATTGACGATGCAGGATGCTCTGTTTCCTTTTTTCTTGAAAATCTTGTGCTTTGTTGTTTCGCTGCTTTCTCTGCTGTGCTTAGAGACCGTTCATAATTTTGCATATGTAAGGTGCTTTATGTTTACAAGGAGCATAGCCAGAACAGTGTTGCCAAAACTTGGAATGCGCTTTGCATGACCTGGTTTGGACTCACCTGAAGAGGCGCTGGATCTTGGCACTGGCATGCATTCTGAAATGTGTAAAGCACCAAGCATGTGCATCAAGCTTCTGGCAAGTTTTCTTGGCACTGATTTGGTCTGAGAAAAGCACCAGCCAATCGCCACATTGTCCGATTTCTGTGCCGGTGCTGGTGCTTTTTTGGCTCACATTGCAAACCTCATTTGAATGGGAAGTGAACATGCACCGTGAATTGCTGTGCAGTGCCTGGAGGCTATCATGCAGGCGATTGGAGAAAAAGAGTCGGCTCAGCAGGAATCCCAGAGAGCCCTGTCCAACCTGGAGACCACCATCCCTGTCACGCGAATGGAAGCTGAAGCAGACGAGGCCCGCTCCAACGACCTACAGAGGCGACTTGGGCGCCTGCAAAAACAGGCCCAGGTGAAGGGTCAGGAGACACACTGCTTTTACTCCAGATCTTGCAGCATATGTATCTTAAACACGTGTCTAAGTGCAACAGGGCATGCTGTTGTTGTTCTGCTTGTCCAGCTTGCATGATATGTAGCCACCACAAAGTGTTTTGTCTCTGCCCAAAGTTGATCTTTCAACAGATCAGCTGACTGGCGGCTCATCCCCTGGAAACGCCAGCTCAGGAGGACATCCTAGGACATCGAATCGCTGGCTATTCAGGTCGGACATGTCTGTTGGCGACCTGCTTTCAAGGCATGCCAGGCACATTGGTCTCCCAACAGTGGGTACCACACACAAATGCAATGTCCACAGTTCAACACACATTGCACCAATACGTGACTATGGAAAGTAACCAAAGTGTCTGCAGCAGTGAGCTTGAATGAAGTTGTCCCCATTGTTGCCATGAAGTTTGAAGGACGGAGGCTTGTCATATTAACAGCAATGTTTGCATTACTGTTGTCTGTATCAGCGACTGCACAGCATCATGTGTCCATCCTGTTAGCGGAACATGCTCTGGCAGTATAATGGAACAGGCAGCTGACATACTGCAAAAGCGACTCTGGAATACGTGTATGCAGCTTGCACCTGTGCTGAGTCAGCCCCTGCCACTTCCCTTCTCAGCAAACAAGCTGTTCAGCACTGTGAATATCTGCAACACATTTTCCTAGCAAAAGCAGGTTACTATTTGCTGTTCAGTCACAGTGTCAGTGCTCACCTAGATGCAAGGGCAACTAAGTGTCCACGCCTAAGCAGTTGGCACACTCCGAGAAGAAGAGTTGAAGCAAAACGCTCAAGGCTTCTTGTCTTGTGGTTGACCTGCTAGAGCCCCATCAAATTTTTGGATCTGTGGATGCAGCCGACCAGGGAGGAAATTGCAAAGATTCGGGACCTGGATTGCAGAATCCAATCTTGCCAAGGAGACATAACACGGCTGGAGCAAAGCATGGTGGACCTGCGAAAGATGGAGGACGAGATCAAGAGCAGGATTGAGAATGCTGGGGGCACGCGTCTTCGTAACCAGAAAGAAAAGGTACATTGTGTTGAGTTTGGGCAAACAGTCTCAGGCACATATTGTTGATGGAGTTGTGGCTGAAATTGTCTGGCAAGGACAAGGGCAGCGATTCAGACTGTTTGAATGAGTGTGTTCGTTCTCTCTGTACAAGGTTGAGAAGCTGCAAGAGGCCAAAAAGCATTTGGAGATGGAGATTAAGAGAAAGGAGGTCCTGATTGCATCTAAGAGGAAGCAAATGAATAAGATGGCTGGTGACATCGAAAAATGCCGCGCAGAGGGTGCAAAGACAGAGGAAAAGGTGGCCAAAAATCGCAAAGAAAAGCAGGCCAATGAGGATGCGGCTTTGTTGACCTTCCAGTCAGCTGAAAAAGTGAGGGCTGCAGTTGAGGAGGCAAAGGAAGAGCTGCAGAACGTTACAAATGCGGTGCGTCTGGCTGATGTTCAGCCTTGCTGTGTCCGCTAGGGCGACTGTAGCACATGGAAATATGTGTAAAGGTGCCCAGATAGCAGGTCAAGCGTTTGACGCTTGGAAAATTTGCTTGTGCAAGACAGATGATACCAGTGTCCAGTGCCTTTGAGTTGATTGATGCACATGCTTTATGTGTTTGGGCCAATTCCTAGACATCCATTGTAGCCATGGCCCATCTGAGGCTCTGGGCAACCGTGCACCAACATTTACCTGCCAACCGATCATTCAGCACCATCCTGAACAATATCGATCCCCTGTTGCATGAACTAGATGGAAGGACTGCTCCAAGAATCCAATGCTGCACGCGAGCGCGAGTCAAGGATTGAGATCGAGTTGGAGGATGTGACTCAGCGAAGGGCAGACGTGGTTGCAGCAAAGAGACACCACACCAACCAGAGGGCAGCGTATGTGCAGAGGTTGGCAGAGTGTGCGCCAGGTGCGGAACTGCACTTTCAACACAATTTTTGTGTTGCTGAACTGGCAAGTGAGACATCAGTGCATCTGCTGGTGACTGCATTGATGAGCGTGTGACAAATTCAGCCATTGCCCCCTGGAGGGCATAATGGTGTACAGGCATTCAAACTGGCCCAGTGGGTGCACAATGCACTCCAGACAAGGAACTGTGGACGTAGATGAGTGATTGGGCAGGAACTTCCTCATCATGCCAGATGCTCTTGCGTGCAATGTCGATTCGGCGATGACCTATAGCAACAGCTGGCACCACGAAAGCCAGAAAACTGCACCGATTGCTGAAGTCTGTCCAACCTTCTACCAGTGTGGAACAATCTAGGCTGCTGGCAGGATGGACTGCTGTTTTCTACAGCCATTTCATGCGACTCTGCTGGCTGTCTTCATGTGCGATGGAACCAGGCCCCAGTTGCGATTTTTGTACTGCAGCACTCTTGTTGATGGATACTATTTCTTGGTGTAGTAACATTGTTGGGAATTGCTCTTTTGGTGACTCTACCCCATTCCTGACGATGGGCCAGGAATTCAGTGACCCTTGCAATGTGGCATGCACAGGCGAGCCTGTTCCTGAGCATACCCCAGAGGAGCTGGCAACTGTGGATGTGCAGCAGCTTCGCTTCCAAATCGTTTCACTGAAGGAGGACCTTGAAAAGATGAATCCAAACACATCAGCTCTTAATGAGTTCAGGACAAAAGAGGCTGAAGCTGCAAGACGGAAGGAGGAGTTTGACTCTGTGACACAAGACAGGGATAAGGTAGGCGTACAGTTTGCTCTTTTGGATCCAAAATGTTGCATCATGTTTAAGAGTCTAGGTGTCACCCCATAATGGTAGAATGGATGTTCGATGTAGGACTGTCTGTTAGAGTGCATCAATCAAATGACAAGTGTTAACAACTAAAAACGACCTTTCCCTTCACTGTGAAACAAAAGACCTATCTGTGATTTTTAGCAAGTTTCTCTAGATTTTCGTCACTGCCAGTTGCCAAATACAGCACTGTGGGCAGCTCAAGGCGTGGCCCGGTGGTGTGAGAGAGCTTGTGCAGTTGTTTATGCTGAAATAGGACAAACCATTGACTTGGGCCTATTGGCGGACGTTGGGTGGCATTTGCCTCCATGAGCATCTGCCCCATATCCATTTATTTCCGTTTGCATTGAGGGTTTGACCGTCAGAGTGGGTGAGGGACTGTTGCTGCTGAGAGAAAGCGGATGAGACCAACAACATCATTGATCATGACAAGAACAGTAATGCTAATAGTAAACATGATGGCAATAGTAATGGTACCAGCAATAATATTGGCAATGACCCAATGCTACACCATTTTCTGCAGCATCCGCTCTTGCATCGCCAGCCCAGCATACAGAAGTGATAAGGCTTGCAAGGTTGCATGTCGTTCACTGGCATGCTGATGCATGTGCTGAGACTAGTCAAGCCCTGCCTTAGGCCACTTAGCTCCTGTAACATTGCAGCAGTCAATGCATAGGCAACTTGCATGCAGCGATCGCCATGGCCAATTGACTGTTTTGTTGGGCAGGCGTTTGGCCATTGTCAGTTGTTGCGCAGTGTACAGAGGAGACACTTGAGTTATATTTCTTGCTAAGAGCAGGCCAAGCACATGGCATTGAAAGAGCTCTGAGCAGTGTGCACAACGTGCACAGAGGCTTTGGATATGGCGATCTGCCCACCGCTCGCGGTACAGACATGGCCATTGCAATTTGAAGTTTTGACCACCACTGGCCCCTGCATGTCACAGCGCATTGTTTCAAATTCAAAGAGACAACAAAAGCATCGCCTCCATGTTCAAATCAGCACCCTCCTGGAGCCAAGGGTCATTTGCAAGAGTGTGGGAGGTGACATGGCTGGAAAACAACTGCTGAACAGGTCGAAGTCTCAGGGTCGTGGTGGCCACGTGAACCCATTGAATACGGATGGGCGGGTGAGCCCCGGTCTGTCATTTTGGTAACCATGCTTGAGCTGATTATCCAGTGGCCATTCTCAGATGAAGATGCACTATGAAGGACTGAGGAAACGCCGGCTGGATGAGTTCATGACCGGGTTCAACATCATTGGCATGAAATTGAAGGAGAACTACCAAATGCTCACACTAGGAGGAGATGCAGAACTGGAGCTCGTGGACTCCCTTGACCCTTTTTCGGAAGTAGGCGACCGACTTTCTGTGTATTCCGCCATCCCCATCGCATATCCCCATCGCTGTCCCCATTCTACTGTTTGTCTCTGTGAATGGCAAAGAATTCTCGATCATTTACATGCAGCAAGAATTGGCCACGTTGCTTATCCAACTGCAACACGACAACGCATGTCCAGCAAAGGGATGGCATGGCCAGATTGTGGGTCCCACATTGTAGGAACTTGTTTAGCACTTGTCCTTGCACCAGACATTTCTCGCCTGGTCATGCATCCAGTTTGGATTTACTTGCCATTAGTTTGCAGTTTGTGACACGAACTTGTTTATGGCCACCTGTGATGTATGCACTGTTGGCTATCACAGCACAAAACTACAAGCACCAACATGAGACCCAACTGAACACAGTACCCAGCACCATGTTAGTGGCACAGAGGACAGATGTAGGAATCTGCATTCGTTGGCTTTGTCACCGTGCTGTTGACACGCGTGGGCATGTGCCGCAGGGTATTGTGTTCTCTGTGAGGCCGCCGAAAAAATCATGGAAGAACATAGCGAATCTGTCTGGAGGCGAGAAGACCCTCAGCTCCCTGGCGTTGGTTTTCGCCCTGCACCATTACAAGCCGACTCCTGTTTATGTCATGGATGAAATCGACGCGGCTCTGGGTAGGGTGGCAGGACATTTGTGCTGCTTGTGTCACTGCACCATATTGACAACTGCTGCAGTACTTGGGCCAAAGAGTTGCTGCAAAGTGCTCCTGCTCAAAACTGTAACTAACCTGCAACAGCAGATGTACTGCCTGGTTTCAGCCGAGAGGTGCTGGCTCTGCTGCTGCAGCCAAGTCTTCTTGTGAGAATCGATGCACGTGTGTTTCAGCACTTGCATCTGGAGCTTTCCTTGGCCTTGGTTCACGCTGATCTGTTATTTGGAATGTCTGCTTGATTGTGTTTGCTGTGCCGAACTTCCTGTTGAAATTTAGCCTGTGATTGGTATGCCTGCCAGACTTCAAGAATGTGTCCATCGTTGGGCATTACGTGAAGGAGAGAACCAAGGGAGCGCAGTTCATCATCATATCGCTGCGGAACAACATGTTCGAGCTGGCTGATAGACTCACTGGGGTCTACAAGGTCGATAACTGCTCCAACTCGTTGACCATGAATCCCCGAGAGTTGGTGATTGGAGGGGCTCATGATGTAGGCAAAGGCCAGCAAACGGGAACTGAACCAACAATGACAGTAGCTTGAAAGCAGCGTGGCATTTTCACAGTGGCTGGCAGGTTCCAGGGAAGTTTCGGTTCTGTGTGGTGTGTTTTGGACACCAGGGCTGCTCTTTCATGATGTTGAGATCCATGGCTTATTTATATGGCACATATTAAAAGATGAACAGGCAATGGAAACATGCAATGTCCTTTGTGTTAGTTACTGTGCTTATGGATGGCAGATTTTGTATTTGTCTGTTTGTAGTAGATACTGTGCGGATGGATGGCAGATCATTTTGTATTTGTGATGTTAAGGTGTCTGCTGTAACTCAAACGAGTTGCTGCACAACCCCTGACAGTTTGGCTGGCCATTGAGGCAGGTGTGGTGCGGCACTGAATGCCTGCACACCATGGCTTGCGACCTTCATGCCAGGGATGGCCAGAGTATGCTATCCGAGCAGTGGTGTGTACATGATAAAAAGGCACCGTGAAGATGGGCACAGCTTTGTGGCATAGCTTTGGCCACAGGTGTATCAGGCGCACAGAGTCCCTGTGTCGGCGAGCACAGATAAAGCAAAGCGCGCTGTAAATTCCCCAGGAAGCGTGGGAGATTGATGTTGGGGAAACGACAGAAACACTGCTGACAAAAATCGGAAGGACTGACGCAGTAGAAGGTTCTGGTACAGTCCAGGAGACTGTCACTGCTAAAATGGAGCGTTGGTGCTTGGGGCCATTTTCGTTGGTGCAATACCGGTTGCTGGTTTCTCCTGATGACACGCACCGCAATTCCGTCATTTTCAAGTCCAGGAGGTTGAGGAGGTTCGCACATAAACACTTGAAATGTCTGGGGCCTTGCAACAACATCTCCTCACCGCCTTGACACTTTTGCACCCGCGCATGGCACCAGCACATTTCCAGAACTCAGCTGCACCACTGCGTTGACTTTGTGCAACTGGCTCCCTCTGTGTGCGCAGGCGGAGTGCATAGCGTGATGGGGACGGAGTGGGGAACAAAGATGCAAAAAGTCTTATGCAAAGGGGACAGACGCGTAAGGAGAGACATTGTGTCGACCTTCGCGCCCTTAACATGGAGTTGACATCCAGTTCAGAAGTTGTGCCATTTAGGGAAGACGCTATGTCGACTTTGGTACACTTTTTTAAAGCTTGATGAGCTGATAGCGCCAACTTGACGCCAAGCACAGAGAACCCACCCCCCTTTGCGTCAAATTGACGCTGAGCGTACCAAAATCGACATGGTGCATTCCCTTGTGCCCGCCATCATGGCAGTCCAGTGTTCCAGACGACGGGGAAATGGCATGTAGCAGTGCTGCAGCGCTGTCGCAAGCGCCCTGTCCACAATGGACCCAATGGCAAGGAGCTGATCCCAAAATTCTTGCACGGATTCGAATCGTTGTGGAGACTGAGTGTGGCAGTGGGTGTGAACAGCCAAGCAGCATCCTGGCCCTGGTGAAGCCCATTGCGACTGGGGAATGGAGAACATCGACAGAGTTTGGGGGACGCGACAATTTTGGATCTCTCCCGTGCCACAAGCTCGCGTGTGACGAGGACAGCTTCTGCACATTGATAAAGAGGGCAGGCCAGACGACCACGAAGCCAAGGGAACCAGGAGCAGTACAGCCATCAATGCATCGAGTGTGTACATGCTTCTGATGTCGTTGCTGCTCAAAACAATACATTACGTTGCGTTTGCTACCTATGCCAAGCGCACACCATGCGTTCATCAGGAAGGGCAGATGTTCAATGGTCTTCACCAGGGGCGACCGGCAGCCCAGTGGAATCTGGCAGCGGCCGACGCACAACCTCTTGTGTCCAATGCCTCCATCGTCACTACCACAGCACCAGGGCTGCAGCGTCTCATCCGCGTGGACGCTTGGCTCATGGCTGCTGCCGCAACACGCATCTCGAATGCACGCCCCAGCCTGATCCGGATTGTCAACACACAGCGCACAAGAGCAGATGTGAGGGAACATTTGCGGGACGCACCAGAACAACGTACGAAACACCTGCTCAGCGGGCTGCAGTGCATCAGGACGTGTAGGTTACGCATAGTAGGCGAGGTTACGGTAGGCCCGGAAATAGGGCGGGAGAATTCCAGTGACTCACGAGTGATTCGGCTGGCTCTGTCTTCTCGTCCTGGCGGAGGCGCGCGCAGGCTGTGGCGCCAAGGAGCCTTGGTGCCGAAAAGCATGACGGGACGACTTTCAACGGCTCCGAGTGGGTCGCGAGTGGCGGCGCCGCCTAAGGGACCTGTCAGGAGCCCCTCTGCACTTCGTTTGCTTTCCCTCCCGCCCACCGCTGTGTTTGGTTGTGATGATGGGATCTTTGATATGGTTCTCGCTCTGGGTAAATTCTGGGACCGAAAATGGCAAAACATTGATATTGGGGTGAATGCACCGACAGATGCATATTTCATTGTGGGAAGTTTGGATAATGGACTCGGGTATATGTGGCTGTGTGGACATGGTTTGTGATATCTGTCGCATGTGCGACGAGCTGGAAAAGTGATTGTAATTACTTTCTCCAGCGTGTGCCCTGGGTGGGCAGAATTGCAGGGCTGAACGTACCCTGTGGGGACAGCGCCCAAACAGGATGTCTGCCACACGTGCTGGGCACGAACTGACGCGGCCCCTTTCCAGATCCGCCAGCCCTCTGCGACCATTCGAGCCTCCGCACTCCCACCCCCCACGCACACTTGGCAGGCATCCGGACATCCACCCCAACACACTCGCAGGGGCCACAGGTCACAGCGGAAGGCAAGGATGTTACACGCACATCCAGCTGCACCCGCTACTGTACAATACCTACGTTCGCCTTCACACCGCGTTCATCAACAGTTACAGCTTCCCCCACCTCGAGCAAGAGCAAGGGATTCAGATCCCTTGGGTGCCAGATCGTCTTCTTCCTCGTTCTTAGGTATGTAGAAGAGATCGACCCACGTCATTCTCAGCACCCACGGTTTGCGCCCCCCGTGGGCGGCAGCCCGGCCAACAACTCGTGTTATTTCCTCGAATTTGACCGAAATAGCGCGGCCGGCGTCATCGCCGTTCCTTGCTGTGATATGGGACGCTGGTTATTGCCACGTATCCCGCTCAGCATCCTCTAACGCTTGATCTGATACGAAAAAGGTTGATAACAGAAAACATTCCCCCTGTTTGCTGTGCAACGCACCGGGTCAACGACCACCATCAAATTCATGAGTCGCACTTCAATCTCCGCAAGACAAAAAGAACCGGCGATTCGCTCAGCACACGTCCACAGAACCGCGAAGACCTCTCCTTCAAAAGGACGCAGCCTCAAACCCCTACCACATTTAACCTGAACAACGCCACGGGAGATGACAATTCTTCAACCCGAATGAATTCAGTTCCAAACTGCTGAGATAATGATGTCCTTTATGGGCACAACTAGCTAACCCAATGACAAAAGCCACAGGAAAATGTGCAGGAGCTGCAATGTAGCTGCCATAAGCTCGTACACTGCCATACATATTTCCCAGCTGCGACCACTGCATGTCAGTTCCTGGCTTGATTCCAATGGAAGATTGGCAGAGCCTCTTGATATGGCACCGTGACTCCCTTGACCCATATACTATCCACACCCCTCCGCACCATGCTCATACACTGCACAGCAATCCATCCCTGCGCAGCTGCTGCCAAAGCCTCCGCATCTCCAAGCCAGTCAACCCCAGTCAGGCAAACCGACAACAAATCGTTGCCTATATCAATTTCTTTGCAACAACACATCCAAAACAGTATAGATAGATACCAGATACTCTAGATACTACCTCCAAGTGCCAGTAGCTAACAGCCACACACAGGGTGGCCAGAACCCTTCCCCTATGCCTGGCAAAGCCTTTGCTACTCCCGGGTCCGAATGTATTCCAGTGCATGTTGTAGCAAATACACAGACACACCACCCACTCCGACCCTGTCCCTCACGCCTGGATGAAGTCCTTGTCTGTAGTCCATACAGCCCGCCTCTTGGAGATGGAGAATTGTCCACATCACTCCAGATTCGTGTGCCTGGAGCGCATGTCAGAGGCTGACACGTGGCAGGCCTTCCGCAGCATGATGCTGACACACTCGAACATGAGCCACATGCTCATTTCATACGATGCTCCCATCTGCAGAATGCTTACACGCCCCTCAGGCAGGAATGACATCAGGTCTGTGCCTGTGCCACTCAGGTTTTGGTTCATGACTGGCATCGATGGCGGCAAGGTTTGTGCAGCGATGCGGATGACATGCTCAGCAAAGGGCAGGTCAGCAGTCTTGTGAGCGGTGAAGGCAATGACTACTGCATGGGCACGCATTGCTTCCAGTGCAATGGCGCTCACCTACAGACACAACACCCTTTAGCATGGCATGACACTCAAATACTGTATAATACTCAGGCCTTCCGCATAAGAAAATTTCACTGTTATGCTTTTTGCTCCGCACTTTGTTTTTCAGAGCATTGTTTCTACTTTTTTACGCTGCTCTGCACAGAAAGGCCAAGCGTTACTTTACTGTGCGAAAGGGGTCAGTATTTTACAGCAATGGCCAACTGACTGCGAAGCAGTCTGGGCGGGGAGAGCCAAGCCATCCTACTGTTGCTGTTCTTTTCAGGAGCACTTGTGTCAATCCAACCTGAATTCAGGATCGAAGCAGCATGCACATGTGTGCTCTTACATGCTGTCTTTGCACCATCACAACACGTATCACAGCACAAAACACACCAACACACAGTTAGTTATGAGCTAAATCTGCACCAGCAAAGACTGTACTCACCGAGCTGTAATAACTAGGCCCTGCGCTGACAAGCATTAGGTCATTAGCGCCGAAGGGTGGCATATTCGTGTCCCCAGTGCAGTACACCTCGAAGCCCAAATGATGCAGGCTGGCAGCAAGTGCCCTCATCACCAATCCCTCCCGTCCAACACCACAGCATCCTATTCTGTTGGCGCTGCGGATGGACTTGGCCAGAGTGACAATATCCTGCTTGTCAACTGTGGATAGGATGGACGACAGCTCTTCGAGAACAGTCGCCGACACCTTCGAGAAATCCTCCCAAGGGACCTACATGGAACAGAGTGGGCAACTGAGCAAGCATAAATACAAAGCTGCCTCACTGCCAGGACAAAATGTCATGTGCTAGTGAATGGGGTTTTGCGGCGTGCCCTGTCTGGTTCATGCACACTTGTGTTGTGACTGGCTCCATGTGCCTCAAAGAACGTCTCATACACAAAGACAGGCCTTCATTAGTGAACAAAAGTCAAAAGGTTTGTCCCAGCCACCTGCAGACTTGTATATGGGTTTTGAGTCACCTCATTGTCACTCTCTTCCTCCTCAACCTTCAGGGCATCGCTCTGCTTGGCCTACAACACTCACACAAAGAGGTCAATCAACAATGGGAATGATTGCTACCACATCAAGACAGTAGCTCTAGTGAAAAGCCAGTCCACACAACATATCATATCCTTGGCTCCACAGCGCGCAATACTGCAAGACAACAACCTGCAGACATGCACATTTCAGCATCTCCCTGGGCCCGGTGAATTACGAGAAAGATCTAACACTCATGTTTCCTCTCTCCCACAACCCAGAAGTGCAACTGCAGGTCAGCACCATTCCGAACAAGAGAGACCTGGTGCCAATCTGGCCTCAACGTCAATGGCCCATACCTTGGGAGGTGGGCGCTTGCACCTGGACAGTCTGTTCTTGAGCCACACTGTGACCTGATTCTCAGTCGCATGGCCTGCTCCTTGAACAGCAGCATGCAGTTCTGGAGTAGCTTTTGTGTACCCTGCAACAGAGGCCATCTGAACTCATTAGATGTGAGGTTTGCATGAATACCCTTGTGAATCACAGGCAGCCTCTCAAGGGAGCCGAAACTGTCGTTCTGCAAGGCAGCGAGTACTCAACGATACTCTAACTGCTTGAGGCTGCCACCATGCTAGCATGCTCTGCCAAAACATGCAAATGCTTGCATGGTTCACCTATATGCTGATGCAACGGAATAGCAGCGGTTCTTGACCATGAACAGGAATGGAATGCAAACGACCTGGCCAGCCTGTTGGACACCACCGCCCTTGCTGCCTTGGCCAATTCCATCCTACCGTACAGCTCTCAAGGTTTCTTCAGCAAAAGAAACAGGACAGCCACAGGCCAGGTCGACAGCAATCACCACCGTGGCAACACAAAATCAACGCCAAACTACAGGTCCGTCCACTTGTGATATTCCAGGTGACCTGCTGACCAGCTTTGGAGTCTGTGGGTGTGTCAAGGTCGTCTTGCTGCTGGTGGAAAATGCTTGGTTCCCCACCTGAGTTGAAGTGCTGCTCCAGCAGGCACAGCTGCACGGGGTTGGGCTTCCACCGCGTCTTGGTCCCCTCCTTGCCGCCCACCGCCGCCCTGTCCCCGTTCTCCGTCATGCAGTGGTTGCCCATCCGCCCGCCGGCATGCACGACGCCCCCCATCCCGTGGAACACGGAGTGCCCCATCTGCCCGGAGCCCATCTGCCCGCCCAGCGGGCTCTCCAGCACGATGTCCGAGTCGGACATCGTCCTGGACACCCTGGCCACCGATCGGTACAGCCCCAACCCCGCCTGCGCACCGCCGGCGCTCCTGGCGCGGTGCACCAGCATCTTGGTGGGCCGGCCGTTGGCGTCCACCCGCGTGGGCGTGTGGCCAACTCCCCTCAGCGACGTGTCCGACGACCCCTTGGACACGAACCGCTGCCCCGAGAATTGCCCCCCCTGCTGCATCGGCTTGGATTGGCTGTTGGCCATGGCGTACCCCGACCCGTCCATGTACCCGTTGGGCGAGAAGGCCTCGCTCGTCATCATCCCCCCCTGGGAGGGCACCACCTGGATCGGCACCAGCTCAACCGGCTGGTCCATAGCCACGCCCGCCAATTCGGCCGGCAGCATCATGTCCTGCCCGTTCTTGAATCCGTACCCCCCGTAGCCGTCATCCGGCGACGACTTGAGCGCGTAGGCCTCCGATTGGTGCATCCCCGCGTCGAGGGGCTGGGACATTGGGTCGCCCTCCACGGGGTGCCCGTGCTCCATGAGGACGGTGGTGAGCAGGGCGTCCTCGCGCATGCTCTGCACGTCAGCCGCCGACGGCACGTCCTGCAGGTCCAGCGAGTGGCCCGCGGCCACCTGGGCGTCACCGGCCTGCATCCCGGGGATCGGCGCGCCCGCGCGGCGGAGGATGGGCAAGCCCCCTGGCGCGCCGACAGGGAGGCAGTAACTAGCTCAAGGGCCTGCAGGCAGAAAAGATCCGCGCGGGTGGTCAAGTTCGGTCCCGGGTGTTCATGGGGCGGCGACGACCTGAGGTCAGCGGAATACGAGGTGGCGGCACCAGAGGCGTGGGAGGAGGCGTTGATGCCGGGGCCTGTCTGGATCTGGCCGGGCAAGCCGGCCAAGCGACCAAGCCGATCGCTCGGTCGGCGAGCACAGCGTCGCGACCCCAACCTCGCGTGAAAGGCGGCACAACCTCCAACCCCCGCAGACATTCGCGCGCCCACCACACGCGGAGGCGTGCCGCCCACGCGCCGGCGGCCCGCTGCGGCGCCCGCACGGCCCAACGACTCCCGAACGCGCTGGCCCGCCGCATCAAAAGGCCACGGGGCCGCCGAGGCACTACGACGTCCGGGACGTACTTCCCCGGCGGTTCCGGTCAAGGCGCCAAGGTCAGTCTGCAAAAGGCGATCAGCGCCCATTGGACGCCCAGAGGGGTTCGATGCGCACTCTCTCAGGCACACAACCCCGAGAGAGCCCGTTGGCCGTGCACCACGCTGACCGCTCACTGGAGGTTTGATGGGGGCCGTGGACCGAAAACGTCTCCAATGCACGCAGTGGTCCCCCCGCGACACGGGTGGAAAGGGCGTGCCCAGGAGTTTGTCCGCGGCCCCACCATCCCATTCCCGCTGCCTCCTTTCAGTCTCCACCCACAGCGCGGGCTTGGGCAGGCCCTAACCCGCGCTGGAGCCCAAGGTGCGCGTCTGCCGGCAATTGCGTTTCACCGCGCGGGCGCTTCAGCGCCCCTCGACGCCAGAATCGCGCCAAGCTGCTCCGCGCGACTTTGCCGCGCCCGCCGCGCCCCCCCCAGCCGCCTTCGCGCGGCCGAGCGGCGCGACGGCCGTCCCCGGAGCCGCGGTGCGCGCAACGGTTGCCGCGTGCAGATCACGGCCCGTGGGGCGCACGACCGGGACAGGGCCCCCGGCACCCCAACATTCCCCCACCCATCGCATCCAAACCTCCAGACGGACGCGATGGCGACGTCTCAAGTCGCGTCGCCCAGCCACTAGGGTTCGCGTCCTCTGCCAAAGGCCCTTCCCCGGATCGATGGCGCCCCAAACACGCCAGCAAAGCCAGCCGGACCGCAGGGGCGCACACGCGATGACCTGCGTCGCTCGCTGTACTGCCCGTACCCGTACCAGCCCCGTACCCGTGGTTGCCGCGTGCGCCCGGCGAGCCTGCACGGGTGCCTCCACGAGAGCACCCGCTCGCGCCCGGTGCCAGCCCTCAGCGCCCGCCAGGCGGCCCAGATTGCGGTCTGCCCGGCTGCCCTTCACCTGCCCCCTCCCGGGCAGGCCTCTGGCCTTGGCCTCACCCCGGGCGCCGCGTGAGGTCGAGTCTCGAACCCGACCGGGAGAACACGCGACTCCCTGGCCTGGTGGCCCCAAGCGCTGTTTTCCGGGTTCAGGGACCGCCGGGGACCCGACAGTCAGTGGCCATCACCGCCCCTTTCAGGCTGGACACCCAACAGGCGCGTGGGCCGGGGGGAACAGTGGACGGACCGGACAGGGGGCATTTGGTGCCAGGGGGGCATTAGGGTGGGAAATGGGGGGTGGTTAACGGCTGTGCAGCTGGAAATCGGGTGACTGCACGCGTCAAATTACGTGGGAATCGTGTCGTAGGTTGGGGGTGTGGGCCCGCCCTATCAAATCACCGGGCCTCAGTGAGCCTGTGCTCGCCGACGTTGCCCTCTAGCCTTTCTGCCCTTCTGCAACACATCCCCTGTGGTTTGCTGCTGCACGTGGGGTTGATGTGGGGAAAGGGACCGGGGGTGGTTGGGTGGCAACAACCCCCATCAAGGGGCCATATTGCGCCCCGGAGGCCAGCGGATTTGAGTGGACACTCCTTGTGGAGTTGGCCTGCACACACCTTTGATTGATCGGGTGAAGAGGCCTCGCCGTGCCACCCAGGCGCTGGTGATGTGGGTGATTGCGCAGGGCGCCCACTTGGTTTGCCACCCGCTTCCCATCCCCGGATTCCATGCACTCTTGTGGCTGTGCCCAGTGAGGGGTTCCTCCCCGTTGTCCTCTTGCCGCTGCCGCTCTTTGATCGTCGGCAGCCTTGACATCAATCAACCCCGTTGCGAAAACCTTCACAGCCCACCAGATTCCCCCAGCCACCACACTTCTTCACCATTTGCATACTGTATACCGAAAAATTTTCGAGGAGAAAAAATTTCGCGTATTTCGCGGGAAAAAAAGTTCGCGGAGAAATATTTTCGCGCACTGGCTCGACCGCGAAATGCGCGAAAATTTTTCTCCCGCGAACTTTCCTCGGTATGCAGTATGTTCGTTCAACCATCGACGCTTTCAACCGATCGATGAAGCTGTTCCGCACACGTTCAACATGTTCCCGCGGACCAAAAAAAATCGTGCGGAGGTACTTGATGCACCGTCATTTCACTGGCAACAGGCTTGCCAACGTGAAGTTCCAATCCGGCACAGCTGGGGCAAATTGCCTCAATGCCTGCGGAAACTTCGCAGCCTCCTCCCCATCATCATCATTTTCTACAGAAAGAAACTTCCGGGCCTCACCCACCCCCTTGCAAAACCCGAGGTGGGACAAAACAGGTGGTGAAAGGAGCTGCCTGTCGCCAGCAGGGCGCGACAAGACAGCACGGCCTGAGCCGCGGAGCTGCGAAGGTCATGGCGGCCACTCTGGCACTGCCCGACGGCCCTTCGGGTCTCGCGGTTCGAGCTGTGCTGCGGCTCTGTGGAAGGTCTGAAGACTACGACGTGACTTGTGGATCAGCAGATCCCGTCCTGGACGACAAGGCCGCCGGGGTCCATTTGAAGGGCGCAGACACCGTCTGCCGTTATCTGGTGTCCAGTTGCACCGGAAAAGAAGCGGATCTGCGAGCTGCAGCCACGGGGCAGCTCCTGGGATGCACCCCCATTCTGGCGGCCCAGGTGCGGCGGAGGATGTCTCAGGAAGTTGGTGGGAAGGGTGGGAGTCAGCGATGGGCAGCAGACACATCATGTGGTTGCGTGAGAGGCGGTATTGGCGAAAACTGAAGAGTCCGCCGTGATTGTTCAGATCCCCATCCTTGCTTGCGGCCGGCCGCTCGTGCTAAAAATATATGCACCGTTCTCTCCCGAAACGCAGAATCAGTGAATAGCTTGACGCTCTCTCTCATTCTGAGCACGTTGCTTGCTTTTAATCCGTTAGGCGAATGGCTCGATTGGAATAGGGCTGAGTATTGGAGGGGCACTGTGGAGCAACAGCAGGCCGTGCTCCAAGAAATTTTCATCTTGTTGGGGATGGAATCGGCTTGAATGCTAACTGCATTGTTGCAGTTAAGAAAGAGGTCAATATCAATAGGAGATGCACGACCCCGTCGAGTTGTACAGTTTGGGCTTCTCTGCAGTTCCACACAGATCTCAAGAGCGGCACTGTGATTGTGTCAGCGCTGCACTTGCAAGTTTGTTTGTTTGTTGTACTTGAGAGAATTTCAACCACTGCATGTTGTCAGAAGTCTCCTTATGTTTATTCTGCTGACTCAACGTGGAGAATTGAGAGATCGACTAGATAGATACATGCAACTGGGAGGTAACCATATCTGGGGCTTGGCCTGACACGGCTGGGCTACCTTCCGAAACCCTTGATAAGCTTGTGCTTCACCCGACTCCCAGTTTCCAGCCAGTTCGAATCACTTTCTGGATGATGTGAAAAGAAAGGGAATGTGTGTGGGTCTGCAATTTGGGGAGAAGTACCTGAAACAAAAGCCGTCAACACGCTGTGAGCTGGAGCGGGCACTCCCGATGTGCGGTTGTCAGTTACCTCCTTTGAATGGAAGCAAGTTTTGCACCATCTTCCACTTCAAATTGTGTAAACAAGCACATGCCAGGACAGGTGGTGCAACAGGGTTCCACAAGTTGACAAGATTGCATTCGCAACAAATGCCACAACTACTTTTTTTCCTTGTGGCCAGCTTTCATGTTCTGGTGTCCCTGTTGGTCAACGAAATCTATGTAATTCCTTGCAGGTTTCGCAATGGCTGGCCTTTGCACATTCTGAGCTGTCACCTCTGACCGACGACAAGCTTGACAAGGTGAATTCTTGTGATAGGTATGCACTCGTCCAGTGCTGGACATCTCCTGTGCACTTTGCAGCTGTAAAGATGCTGGTGCCAAATGTCTTTATGTGCCTGATTCAGAGGTGCATAGTGTCAGTACAATTTCGAGTTCCACGCAGTGGTGGCATTCGGTGGGAGGATGCAGTGAAACATGTGCTCAGGCTTGTTATTCCACCTTTGTGCTACACGCTGGTGGACGACTTCTCCACCAACATGCTACATACCTGCCAATGGATGGCATTGGCATCGTATCCACAATTTCATGATGTGTGCATTGCTTTCTGTGTGGTACACTCATGTCATAGTTGGCAGTGCCACCAGCCCTGTGCTTGGTTTTGTTCTTGAAATGATGCATAAATGTTCTTGGATGTGCTGCCTCCAGCTGAATGCATTTCTGGCACCACGTGTCTTCCTGGTGGGTACGAGCCTGACGCTTGCGGACATATGCATTTTCGTCGTCGTCCACAAAGCAGTGGTGAGAGGCCTTCACAGGAAATCCCCTGCACACCTGTGTGGGCTGACATGATGGTGGTGCCACACTGCTTGTGTTTGCTGCCTTGGGTGCCATCTGCAACGGATGGCTCTAACCATTGTTGTCGGCTGTGACATCCCCGGACGCTGTGTCTGTGGGCAGTTGCAGAACTGCAGATCACCTCCAGACTCATGTTATCTCCCTACCCACACTTCATTAGGGATTGTGAATCTGCTGGGCAGTTGTTGGGACACTAAACAGGATCGCAGGATGATGTGAATGAAATTTCCCCAGTGTGGCTGCAAGGTGTTGCAACATGATGGACAAGTGCAGAATGCTGAATTTTTTCACATTAATCCGTCTTTTGCGACATTTTGTGTGCTCAACAGAGCAGACATCGTGATGTGTACAAGAAGAACCCCATTGTTATTGTGCACTGTCACTTCTATACATTGAATGGATGTGTACATTGGGCATGTTTCAGACAGGATTTCCCGTGGCTCAGACAAAGCGCTTCTGCAACCTGTTGCGGTGGCACGACTTGATGCTGAACATCGCAGAATGGTCCGGTATCATAGCAACAGTCCCGCTAAGGAAGCCAGTCTTTGACTTCACACCACCACAGCCGCCCCCACCACAGCCCAAGGTGTGTTGCGAAACCTGTGTCCCTTTTACAACTGATTCGCCTCTTGCTTGGTGTGAAGATGTCTGTTGCATATCAGAAGAGATGGGCACTTGTGTTGGGCATTGTTGGAGTGGAGCGTTCATGTTGTCGCAGCGCTGCCCTGTGTACAAAGTCGCACTGAGTCATGTACCAACCACGAACATGGTTTGAGAATTTCAGCATCAGTGGGGCGCAGTTGTTGATTGGATTATGTTGCTTGCCCACAGGCACCAAAAACTGATCCAGGTCAGGCCCAGCAGGCTGACTCAAAGGCCAGCTCAAAAGCTGAATCGAAGGCTGCAAAAAAGTCCAGTGCAGTTGAGGCAACGAAGACCTGACTGACCAATTGGATATTGCGTCAGATTAGTCCGTTGAGGCTTGTGAAGCTGTTCCAACTACAATGCGTCTGGAGTCTGGCGCCCCGAAATCCCAACTACTGATGGCACTGGCCAGCCGTGCTTAAGATCCCTGCAGCAATTTGGATGGCTGCTGCTGCCGTGCAATTTTTGAGCGCCAGAAGCGGGCTGTAGCAGTGTAGGTGCACCTAGGTATCTGGGAACGCTATACGGCTGCAAGACAAAGACTTGCCCCACACAGAACAACGATTGCCAGGCCTGAAGTTCCGGTAGCAAATTGACACAAGGTGTGCTGTTGAGGTGCGCCTGTGCTGTTGAGTGCCATGTGCTGTTGAGGTGCGCCTGTTTACAGGGGGCACAGGAGGAGAAGAATTCGGAGAGATATGGCGCATGGTGAATGCTCTGCCGCAACTGACGACGCTTGTGTGACAGTGAAGTAACTGGAGTGCCTGAAAGTTGCCTTATGCACCACTGGCTGTGTCCAGGCAAATGCGCACAGCTCAGGTGTTTGCATACTCTTCGTACATGGGCATGGGTGCTCGGCATGCACACGATCTACTTGCAAGTAGATCAACTGCAAGGAGGCCAACTGGTGCTGTTGTGCATATGAGGAGTATTCGCTTGTCGATTGAAGCACAAGTTGAGGCTCATCATTTGGGGTCCCTTGCTGCCCGTACACATGTGCGTGTATTGGCGTGCACATGTGTGTGTATAGGTGCGACTGTGGGCGCACACATGTGCACATGTGGCCCAAGTCCCTCGGTGCCCTGCTCTAGTGCTCGATATTAGTGTTCATGGCATGCCATGCAGCTGCCACAACAAAAGGGGATCTTATACTTCCTGGAAGCTGACAGTAGAAGTAAGACAGGAGAGTTCACCATGAACCAAGGCAGGCCAACACGGTTCCCGAGTTCTCATCATTTGAACACAGTTATTTCTTGCAGTTATTCTGTGCTGTTTTGCATTTTGAGGTTGGTGGCTGGCTCGGGCCACCCCGTTCAATGAATCGCAATGTCGACGCATGGCCCAATCGCTGGCCGCAGCTGATTCATCATCATCATGATTTTCTACAGAACAAGGCAATGAGGTAGCCGCAGGTGATTCACCCAGAGAAACAGTACCCACAATGAGGCGTCGCAAACAGGAGGCTGTTTTCCGTTGGCGAAAGATGCAGCTGATGGCCGCCTCCTGGCCTCGACACGATGTACCTAAAGACAGCGTGCAGCGAAGCTTCCCTAAGGACAGCGTGTGGAGAGATGCTGCTCCACTGATTGAGCAACAGCGGAACAGAGGATTCTCCATCACGTCCCGGTTTTCCCAATAGTTTTCAGGAGGGAGAGTTCGAACTGTGCCAGATTTCGAACTGTGCCAGAAACTCCGCCGCCCCGGCCGCAACCTTCCCGCCCATTCCAAACGCCATGTCGATCCCTGCACAGGAAGCACGCCAAGCCCCTCCCTGGGGGCACCGCCGCTCTGACGGACCCGCGTCCAGTATGGGTACCCCCGACCGATCGCAGCCGGCGCTTCTCGTGGGCCCCTCGTCGGTGAGTGGACCCGACGCGATCCCATCGAGCCAACTCACGGTTGTGCTTCAGCAATTCGCGGATGCGCTTCAGCGAGCAAGATGCGACGACTTGCCATCGTGCCCTGTTCTTCAGGATCCAGGTCGGAGGACCTCCCACGACAGCGCGGGCAGCAGCGGGCGCAGGTGCGATCAGAAAAGAAACCGCTTTCTCGCCGCTGTCCCCCTTGCGCGCTCATTTGCACATTTGGGCCAATGTCGTCTTCTAACATTCTTCAGTGCTCTCTGTGCTCTCTTCTGTACGCTTTCCGCGTCTCGATGCTGGACACGCCGTGCTAAAACTTGTGTGGACTGCCCGCCTTTAGCCATCGCATTTGCGGGTCACGTGCTTCCGTATCTTGTGCCGATTCTGCGGATATGTGGATTTGAACGGCAATGGCTTGGGTGCCACAGGGAGGCTGGCAGGACTCCGAATGGGGCCCTGAGGGGACAGGGGACGCCCTTCGGCTCCCTGGCAAAAAACCCCAAGCGCACGACCCTCACGAGGGAGCAGCTGCTCAAGATGGTGACGGACTGCTACCAGCTGTCGAAGCACAACAAGCTGGACAAGAGGAACATGTGGAACCTAACGCTGATTGACTGTATGCCGCAACTCGTGAGGGACCAATGCGAGGAGGACGGGACGTTTAACTTCGCGACAGTCACCTGCGGCCTTGACGCGAGCGTCGAGATCTATGCGAAGCGGGTGGACTGCACACACAGCATGGCCATGGACACGCTAACCATGTCCAAGAATCGGGGGCAATCCACAGGTGGAGACCGCATGGAATGTGGCCGAGAAGGCAATTTTCGGATGGTTGTAGAAAGGACATGCCACCTGACCACAGGGATTGTTGCTGCAGAAGGGCAGCCTGGCCTGGTTGCCCTCACGCATTGGTGTCTGAGTGTTGCGGAAGAGAATGCCGAGTTTAGTAGAGCTGCAGCCTTGCAGGTCATAGGCCCGTGAACATACAATCTGGGCTATTGCGGCCATCCAGCTGCCAGTTGCATGTCCTGGAAGCAAACTGAACCACCAGAAAAAGGAATTGGAATTGGAACCGCTGCTGACCCATGGAGGTGGCCTGGAAGCACCTGTGTTGACCTGGCACAAAACGTGTTGGGTCGTTTGGAAAGAACAGACTTCATATACCCTGTTATTGTACTTACCGGCAGTGCAGCGTGGTGATGAGGAGACAGGAGGGGAGGGGGATACACAGGCTCCCCGCCGTGGTCGTGCAAAGCCAGTGGATGCCACATCGACTCTGCTGCCAGAGGAAACAGGAGGCGAACGAGAAATCACTACAGAGGTGCCAAGAGATCCACTCTTTCGCGTCACTGCTGCCAAATTTGATGCTGCAGGACAAGAAGGTACAGTGGCTCTGCCACTGCTCACCATCGCAGCAGGGGTGAAAGGGCATCCCTTGCCTCAGGTCAATTAAAGCGAATGAATGTGGATCTGTGCTCTGCGACTGCCTGCTTCGACGCAATTTGATGTCCAACATGGCCAACACAAGGAAATCTGTTTACTTTTGTGCGGAGCCCTGCTTGAGCTTGTGGTCTTTCTGCTTGTAGCGTTGCTGCTATAACTTTCGATGTCTTGACAAGTGCTCTGTGTTCAAGCAGGTTTGTTCCTTGTACAAATGGGGCCCACAAACGGGGTAGAGGACAGTATGCACCTACCAGTAGCCTCAAGGATTCCGGTATATCCAGTGCCTACTAACTGTCACTGGGGCACGCATGAAGAGGTACGGTTTGACAAGCAGTGACAACTGAGGTGGCCAAGTTCATATGCAGGAATTTTACCACACATTTGCGTTACTCCACTTATGAGCAAACAAGAACTGTCCTGAACTGTCCTATGCATGAAACCCCACCCAGTCCTGTTTTCCAACACCAAGAGTCCTCCTTCCGAGCATGGGCTTAGGAATTGCAGGATTGCTGGGAGTCCACTCTGTTCAATGTATTGGAGCATCAAGAAGACAAACACAGGCAACGACATGCCCAGAGGACAGGAATGGCGTTTATGGTGGATGCCTCTCTCTTCTGTGCCCTGCATGTGCGGCAGCCTTTCAGATCCTCAGTCACTCATGATGAGGATGCTTGCATGCGCTCACATCTGGCAGAGCCAGAATGGGCTTGGGCATTGGCTGTTGCAGATGCCATTTCTGTCATTACATTTGAGGAATACTCTGTACCCTGCCTACAGCATTAGCAGCAGCAGCAGCAGCAACGATATGAATGCCTTACAGGAGACTGGGGCACTGTTTGTGCTGTGACAATGTTGTGGCTGTAAGCATGCAACTTGTGCGTGCATGTGTGCTTCGGTTGTTGTTGATCAGACCTCAAAGATTGTGAGCACTGGACAAGTTATACATGTCTGTCCTCTGCTGGTAAAGTCCAAAAAATATGTCCTAACCACAATTCTCACTTGCTGAACGTGGTCAAGAATCATCCACCAAAGGAAAGTCTGCCAACAATGCAGCAGAGCAATGCATGTGCATGTGTTGCGGGCCACATGTCCTCATCCTGAATTCTGCTCCTGCTCTTATCATTCTAGGAAGGCTGGTCAACCCAGCGCCCTCAGACATGTGCTGGAGTGAAGCCAACGTGCAGCCGCTTCTGTGAACTTCTTGAGGTTCCAGCGATTGACCATGGCTATATATTTCAGGTGGTGGAGGAGGCAGGTGGGCATGTTCACCCCAGTCATCACTTTGGCATTGTTCTATGTGCAGAATTGCAATCTAACTGGTGCAAGGGCAGTGCTTGTCTTCATAGAACGAGGACTCCTGTGCACAAGTGTCTATGCCAGTCCTCACATCAGTTCTTCAAGATCCAATTGCAGGGCTCTTCAACATAGAAATGGCTGCAGCACCTGCAATGCTGGGCAGTGCTGTAATACTGTCTGTAGCACAGTCTGTACTGTTATAGGAAATGACTCTTTATTTATATTGCTGATGAGCATTCACTGCCGGTATGCTACTCCCAACGACCTGAACAGCGCGTGTTTGTCACCTTCCAGTTTGCGGCATTGCAGGTCATTGAACAGTCCATTGTTACTGCAGTGCCTGTAGCATTGTGCCAGTAGTGTGACTGTAGTGCCCTTAGTGATGTCCCTGCAGTACTGTAGTGCTGGACTGCAGCCTGTATTATAACATACCTCATGTGCAGCTCAGCACGGTGCCCACTGTTCATGTGTCTGGGCAGGTGATACAACGGTCTGCAACGGCTCTGATCACAGAATGCCTCTGCTGCAAACCCCTCTCACTTCCGTATCTCTACATGGGTGGGGAAAGGAAAGCCATTCAGTAAACTTGGGGACTTCAGTGCTCGAGGGGGGCAGCGATCACGATGGGGATTTCGAAGTCATGGTTCATGGGGATGGAGTGGATGCAGGAGAGGTGGACAGGGGCGACGTGGCTGGCTTCCATCTGCCTTGGCATGGAACGCCGCTGTCGCCACAGCCAGTAGAGGTGTGCACCTGGATGGCAACCCATGCCACTGGCAGACATTTCTTCACCAGTGCAGTGTGCAGCCATATTTTCAATGCACCATACTTGTCCATTGCATTCGTCAACCTGGACATGCTGACACTGGGCTGCCCTCTTGTGCTGTTGTGGGGTGTATTCTTTCAAAACACTGGTTGGTGGCTCACTGTGCTTGGCAGTGCCCTTGAGAAATGGGTCTCTTGCTTGCAGCCTGAGCTGGATCAGCACCACTGCATGGCACCAACATTTGTGCATTTTGTGACATGTTTGTTATATTCAATTGGTTGATCAGATTACGGGAGCTGCAGTGCATACCAAAAGCATTGCCTCCAGGTTATGTTGTATCTATCTGTGCCACCCCTTGCAAATGCATCATTGCCATTCACATGGTGTGGGACTGTATTGCAATCTGCCTTTGTTGCCTTGGGGATTTGATGGCTGATGTCCTCAGTGCCTGCATCAGGCATGCGTCTGAATTATAGCAAATGGTTGGTTTTTGACGCCTGGTGGAGGGTGCAGTTAGCAGGGAACTGATGGAAAGCTGTAATACACAGGAAATTCTGGATAAGAACGGCCTCATGTGGGTACTGGAGGCACGGTTTGGCAGGTTACCGCCAACCAGGAAAATTGCTTCCCATTGGAAGTTTCCACAGCAGCAATGTGGGGAGGCCTCCAAGCAAAAGAAGAGGCAGCCAAGGTGGATCGTTGTGGGATTTGGTGCCCTGCTGGAAGAAAGAGTGACACCTGTCAGGCTCGATGCACAGTACCTGTTGCTCTTTGGCAGAAGAAACTTGTAATGCAGTTGGCAAAAGCCTCATGCACATTGTTTTTGAGACTCTTTTCAGTATATGAACCACGAATCAGGTTCGCGATTCCAAATTTCGACAAGGAAGCATGGGGCGATGCATGATGTGGGTCAAGTGTTTATTAGGTCCCATCCCAAGGTATGGCTGTAGGAACCATGTGCTGACCCTGCACTTGCATTGGTGGTACATGTCTCTGGAATGCATGGCAGTTGGGAACAGCTATGCTTGTTTTTGAGACTCTTTTCAGTATATGAACCACGAATCAGGTTCACGATTCCAAATTTCGACAAGGAAGCGTGGGGCGATGCATGGATGTGGGTCAAGTGTTTATTAGGTCCCATTCCAAGGTATGGCTGTAGGAACCATGTGCTGACCCTGCACTTGCATTGGTGGTACATGTCTCTGGAATGCATGGCAGTTGGGAACAGCTATGCTTGTATCCTTGCTGATTCCGTTCCTGGTGCACAGGCGGCGCAAGGACAAACCTGACTATACCTGTCTTCCTGAGATTGACTGCAGTTCACTAGCACCAGCTAAGAGGTTCAATCGCATTGACCTTCTAACGAGACGCCCTGCTCACAAACTGATTCAGGAAGATCCGTATTATGAGGTGATGTTGTTGTTCAACGAGATTTATGATGTTCCCACTCTTACAGGATGCCCAACTGTGGAATTGAAGAACACATGGTGTGGTGAAGCAACTATTATGTGGAAAGGACTGCCATCCTGGCCTGTACATGATCATTATGCACATAAGCAAAGGCTCAAGAGGATGAACACAGCAACAGGAAGCTTTAATTGGATCTTGCCTGTCCCATGAAGGAATATTGCGCACAAGGAATTCACTCCCCGGGCACCTGGCACCATGTATTGATATTGAGGCTGCAGTGCTGATCGCATTTAGCAGGGGCTACCTTTCGTTGGTGGCATCCAAGTTGTCTTGCACATCAACTATGCAAGTATTATTGTCACAGTGCTCCTTGAGGATGTGTTGAACGCTGTCTCTAGCGATGCAAGAGTTGGAAGACAGTCGGCTATCAGCCTGTCGGCAATACTGGAAGGCAGTATCTAAACCCCAGCTGTATTCTATGAATATCCAGAACTACCTCTGTCACAGCATTCTCCAAGTCGGTTTGCTGGAGTGCATACTGTACACTGTGTGTCTGCCGACTTTGCACACAAGCAGAACACCTGCCAATCTGCTCCCAAGGCATGAAAGTGCCACAGTTGCCCATGCCTGCAATGTCGGCCTCTAGGGTCCTCGTTTGCGCTCGTGGCTGTCCACTTTTTCTGTTGGAGCTCTGCTTTCTGTTAAGCAACACAGTGTTGTAAAGATGAGCGACATAGCGCTATGTTGAAGGGTGGAATGTGGAATGATATTGATGTAAAACCCCTGGCACAGGAGCCGTTTGCTTCCGGACTGTTCTTGAGGCCCAACGACCGCAGTGGCGGTCTACCTTGTGGGCTGCCAGGGGAGGCTGGGGGAAACCTTTTGCAAGGGAGCCCTCAAGGTGCAGGACTGGACGATTTCAATGATGATGGCGAGGGAGTGGGCATTTCTGGCCCAGACTATGACTGGGATGATGGTGGTGATGGGGTGGATGAACATGATGACCTCATTGCTGCACCGGGAAGGACAGTCGCCTTTGCACCCATCAGAGTCGCAGCAAGAATGAAACATGTGGGTCACCTGCAACAATCGAATCGCTGCTTGCTGGGCTGCACATGTCATTGCTGTCGTGTGTCTGGAGGCACACCTGGCGTGTTCTTCCCAGTAATCTTATCGTGCCTCAGGTGCATGGAACAGGCAGCCAATATGTTGTCGCAATGCGATGCAATGCAGTGGCACGGTTACTTGATGCAGACACCGTCGGTTCTCTTGTTCGCCATTCCCTTCACAGTACACTGTACATGTCTTCCAGCAATATTCTTGGGAAACAGGTTACCGTTTTTATACGGACTTCTGAGAGTCGATGCACCGATGTTGCCCTGGATTTCAGTGCCATGCACCAGATTGCAGCAGTGCAGGCTGCTGTGGGTTGCCCATGATCTTTGCATCAAAATGCACCAGAATTTCCACTCACCCTGTCAAGGTGACACAACATTGAAAATCTGGTGGGCTGTTTCCGCCCCAGCTTTGCATGTTATTGCAAGCGAATGCAGTTTTCCTTGCACCCACCATCAACTTTTCTCTTGAACAGCTGTGCTGATGAGCGAAGCTGGAAATAATGTTGAACTTTGCAAAACTGACAATGTAGTCCCCAATGATCAAAGTGGGCTTGGAACTCCTGGCAGAGAATCCGTGTAAGCAAAATGGCAGAAGCCGTATTACCCCCCATGCAATTGTGTGTCAGCAGCCTTATGATGAACAGGCAGTGGACTGCCAGCCAGGGTTGACACGCTCCCTGCTCTGTTCTTTGACAGCACAATGCAGCTACCTCTTTGGTCCTGGTGCGAACATCCCAACAAACCAAATGTATCAAATGTATCTTGTCCTGCCCATTTGGGAATGCGGTGCACTGTTTGGATACGCATTTGCTTGTCCCCTAACTGTCTCGTTGTGTTGCATTGGAACATCTGTGCTCATTGTGGTGGGTAGGAAGGATTTCGTCTGGCAGCAAATGTGGTTGCCAGCAGCTCTTGTCCTGTGGCATGGTTCCTGTGTGCAGGCATGCGGAATGAGGTTCCACCAGTTGGCACATTTCCATTATCCTTGTGCCTGAATGTTTATGTGCCACTGAACAGGTTGACATTGGTGCTCTGAAAGCACACCTCTGGCAAGAATTGTGCCAACAATCGGACAATCCAGGGACCTCCTCGCAGACAGGCAGTGCTTTCTCAGAAATCGTCCGATCTGTGCCGGAAGCAGGGCAGGCAGGACGACTAGAAGACATATCCCCACACATGTGCTTCATTTGCCTGTTGCATCTCGCCAATGAACATGGTCTTCAACTCTCTGGCAGTGAAATGCTTGATGAAGTGCTTGTTGACAACATACCAGAGAACAGCAGATCCGGCAGGATGAAGTGCTGATCGACAGCACACCAGCCAGCAAAGAGCAGATCCTGCAGCAAGACCAGAAGACAAGCCCCCACATATTTGCTTCGTTGGACTGCATCTTGCCAGTGAACATGGCCTGCAG